ATCGCATTCTTACGAAATAATTTTGTGGAATAAATCTTGAACAAGTAGCTAGTAAAATCGTGTTCGTTTGTGTTTTTTTGCTATTTTTGTGTTTGCAATCTGGTTTCTTCTAGTTACATCATTCATCAATGTTCTTCATGTTCACAAAACGTTTTAATTGTGTTTTCACAGATTTGTTATACTATTGTGGTTGAAATTGTGGTCTTTGTGGTGAGAAAATATTTCTTTGTATGAAAAACATCAAAAACCTGAAAAATGAAGCATAAATGACAACAATGAAGATTGAAGATGTTACACTTTTGTTTTTCTTTCAAATATTGTGTTTATGTGAACAGATGTACTTTTACATAATCATGATGCTGACTCTTAAATGTATATTTACGACACCTAGTAGAATTTTCGTTTTTTTCATCTCCAATATGATGTCTATTAACCCAATCTGACCAGTTTGATACACCAGCAGCTTATTAATCGTGTTGCGTGTGTAAAATCAGAATACTATGTAAACATTGAGATAGCTATAAAGTTGAGTGACAGGTGCAAAACAAATTATTTTTCAGAAAAATTACGAGCTTTCAAAATTATGTTTTCGATGGTTCTTTATTAAATATACAAGTAAACAAACAATGAGCTGTCCAACCAGTACACACATTCATACATAAATTTCTATGTCATAGTTACATCATTATAATACTCAACGGACGTTGAGTTAAAATTGGCAAATAAAGAATTTTAATGTAACCATTATCTACTTTTCAAAGATCGAGTTAGTATGTTTTTGTCGGATTTTCCTTTTTCCTTTTCTTCCTGAATATGCATTGAGTATTTCTGCCGTTGTCGTTATCTTATTTAATCATATATATTCGAACGGAATACTATTCATAAATATTTGACCTGTATAACAAATCAACTAGCCGTCAGTGGTTCACTGTACACGGTTCTAAGGCGTCTGGTTAAACAAAATAACAAATGTGCACATATGTAGCATGATCCACATTAAGCAACAAGAAGTCCACTCAAACCGATGCATGGGATGTTTGCTCTAGCCTTATCATGTCGTTGAGATGAACATAAGTGAAAACAGCTCCCTTTTTGTAATTTTGCTTTTTGGTTTTCACATGTGTTTTTTGTGTCCTTTGAAGTTGTACAGCTCCCTTTGTATCATCTCAAGCATGATATTAAATGTTTTTTTTCTGTTTTTTTTTAGGCACACTGACCTAAAATTGAGTATGCGCGGTTCCCTTGTGTAACTTTAACCAATTGTCCCCAAACACCCGAAAATTCTGCGGATGTCTGTTTCCTGAGTTTTGTTATTTCCAGTAAGTTATCCATAAAACTCGTTTCTTTTCAATAAAACTTTAAACACAATTAGAAGTGTTTGTATTAGAAAGACAAAGTATATCGAGTATGCATCCATGGCTCAAAACAAGTTAATGCACAACAAAAACGACATACACAAACAAAGCAAGGAAACAGCTCTTTTATTGCTGTTCTTCATTTCAAAGTCACAAGGAGGCCTTAAAACGGAGTCAAACAAATTTTTCATCTCACTGCAAATTGAGACTGCCCTTAGCATCGGCTTCAGCGGAATAAGTCCATCTTTATTACCCTACACAATTTAAGAGAAAATAATAAATTGGTGATAGGGTTTAATTAGGTCGTTAGCTTTATCGTTGAATTGTTTTACATTTGTCATATCACGGCCTTTTTAAGATGACTAAGCGGTATGTATTTTGATCATTGTTGAAGGCCGTACGGTGACCTATAGTTGTTTATATCTGTTTCATTTGGTCTCTTGTGAAAAGTTTTCTCTTTGGCAATCTTAACACATCTTATTTTTAATATTTCATAAATTATAAATGGCGTGTGTGCTGTTGAATTTCGTAGCGTTCGGATATTCCGGTGAATTCGGGGGCGTTGTTAGTTGGTTTTTGATCTATGAGTTTGAATGTCACTCTGGTATCTCTCGCCCATCTTCTTTAATTAATATTGTCCTGACTAGTTATATTGCATATCAGCTATCATGCGAATCCTTGTAAAGAATCCACTCAGAACCGTTGCTAAATATGATCTTGAACTTAAGCATGTTAATCATGCTGTTTCAATCTTTTTGAATGGGCCTTGAGAAATTGTGGTCAAATACACTATATTCCTTATTTTCAATTATACAAAAAGCGCACGAGAGTTCTCTCAATCAATGTAAAGTATGGTCATCCTTGAACGTTTCTAGTTCTGGCAGTAAACCTGGGGCGTTCATTTGGCTGTGTAAATCGATGTATATATTACGTGAATAGTCCGGTTGGTTTTTAAGACTTATAATCCGATGCATGTTATGGGTAGATTGTCGCGCTCTTAGCCTATTTAAAACTTCCTCTACTACTATGACGTGGGCGTAAATTGTTTCATAAATGCAATTTGAAATGTATTTTTTTGTGTTTTCTACCTTTCAACCAGATTATATGGATTGATCTTATCACTTCGTTTCAATTATACACCAACATTTGATTTTAGTTTTTAACCATCCCTTTCTGTACGCAAAGTTTATTGCCAAGACGTTACCTTGCATATAACTAGTAACCGAACAGTCATTTTGGCTTCTGATAGTTCACCACTACTGGGCAATTTGTTTTTCTAATAATATGAAGAAAATTTATACAAAACCTTTCAAAAAAGAATAAATACAGTACTTACGCTATTAAATTTCAAACTCGGATATTTTGATGATACTTGTATGTCGCTCAATAACCCTCAATTCAGTGAGTATTTATCACTCATATTTCCCGGTGAACTCACGATACAAGATTATTGTGAAAGTTGAAAATCTGTTTCAATTCTTCATCTTTAATTTATTAAAGGTTGACACAGATGGACGACTTCAAACTAAAATCTGTGACAAACATGTCGACAGTTGCGGCTACAACTTTCTTTACCAACGCTAATGGGTATACCGAAACAATAAGTCGCTATATCAACTGAAAAGCTACCAATGTCATCTTAAGATACCAGTATAGTCGTCTGGTTTTACTTTTACTGATGTATTGTATTTCCTTGAGTGACTCATGTGACTGGGGAATAGAAATAAAGTAACTATTGGTCTTCTTCTGACAGTCAGTATACTCTTACAAAAGTGGGGTGTTTGCTTGGTAATGCATGATGTCTACCTGCCTATTGTATGTATTGTTAATTTGTTGTCGCCCTGAATATGCATGAAATACTTGCCTCTGCACATTAAGCAACCAAAATCGAATCAGCAATTAAACCTATAGCCGATTGAAACATCCGACTAATAGAGGATTTTCATATCGGGTAATGCATACATTGCACAAAACCAATATTTTTTAGACGCTTCTGGCCATGTACCACTCATTTAACAAGAACGCGGTGAAGTTCACACTGTAGTGGTAATATATAATAGGTCTGTATTTTTAAATTGCATTAGATTTTAAATCTGAGATGAAGAAGTGGATCTGTCTTTACTTTATTTGATACCTGAATTACATCTGGAGAACATCAAATTCCCCTCAGTGTTTAGTGGAGTTTATGATGCTTAACCAATTGTTTCCTATGATTTGTTTTGTATACAGTTTTTTGCCTTTTTGTCGGTATTTGTATTCTTAGCCATTGGGTTATCAGTTTGTCTGCAGTTTATGTGTTTTAATATCAGGTTGGTAGCTTCTGCCTCGCAACTACAGTGCAATGGACAATTGAATCAACACTATAGACGATTCCGCCATATAGCCTCCAAATGGCAGGAGAACTATCATGCTTTATTGCATGATGAGAACATCACTGTTATAATAGATCATAATGACTGTGTCCTCTATACCCCTTAGAGTATTTTATCTTGTTTTAGGAGGACGGATGGAATGTATAACGACGTTAACGCAAAACGCAGCTAGATTTCTTGACTGTTTAGTTATTCAAGTGTGCATATGTAGATTATGTATAATATTGTCAATAATAAATGGAGGTTGTCTGTATTCAAAATTCAAAATGAAAAACAAAACACGTTAACAAAGTAAAAGTTTTAGTATTCATAAAATATATTTAAATAACAAGCAAGCAGTACATGCATTACAATTTAATAAATATAAAACATAGGAGATTTTTAATTGCTAATAAGAAAACTAGTCACCAGATAATAAATACAATGGAGGCAATCAACTATTGGTTATGGTACGGCTATCACCATTGGACAAAACACACACCGTCATAAAGTCGAATGCCTGTCTTTATAACATTGTCAATATCATAATTGACTTTCTCAATTTTTTAGCTCCCTCCTAGTAATCTTAAATGATGTACATTGGTATAATTTTGGATGTTACAATGATTGACTATTGAAGTCAGTACAAATGTGTTTTTAATGAAAAAAATACTTTGTCAGTTCATTATAGATTTTTAAACGCAAACATATAATTGTAGATATTAATATAAGCATGCACAAAAAGTATAACAAAAATACCGAACATTAAGATAAATTTAAAAGCGGATGTTCATAAGAAATAAAAAAGTTTGTAGTTCATGATTTACAAATAAAAAGGAAAATGATGATTACAATAATTACAATGAAATAAAAATGATAAAACATACGTTGTTCAAAGACCCAAAACAGCATACGCTCAAAGTTGGCAATGTTAAAGCAGTTTATTTCTGAATAGCACTATCAACCCTTCGATTTTATTTCTATAAATGTGCTGCCATTAAACATGTTAAACTATAACAAGTAAAGTTACAAAAATACCGAACTCCGAGTAAAATTCTGAACGGAAAGTCCCTAATCAAATGGCTAAATCAAAAGGTTCAAACTGATCAATCGAACTTGGTTTAGGCATGTTCTTATGTAGACAAATGATAGATTAAACCTGCACATGGTTTTTTATGATGAATTATCTACAGCATGGTCTGTATTCACTTGCTCCTTGTTGTAACAATATTATGGTGTTACTAGATATACTTGAATGTTAATCCTAGTAATACTAAGATGGGGGGAGGGGGGGGGGGGGGGTCATACTAACAAGCAAAAAAAAAAATATAAACAAAAAGCTTTCTGTCAGTATGATGAATTATTTTATGAGTGATTTACATAGAAAAGTGTATAAAAACATATGGACCTATTTATAATATTTAGTGAAGTTTTAAATCTGATGGTCATATTATGTATCCCTTATTACTTCTTACGAGAGGCTATCCAGTCGTGGACACTCTTGGTACCATTTTCCTGAAAGATCTAAATTTCTAAAAAAAGTTTTACCAAAACATTTCAATCTGTAGAAATTATACCTCAGTGATAAAACATTTAGTATTTTTTTGTAATTTAAGGAGAAGGGGCAATAAGGCCCTTATTTGGCCCAAATATTTCTGCAAATTTAAAAGTTATCATACATATTTTTAAATTTGTCCTAACTAGACTAATGTACAAGGTATTAAGAAAATGAAAACAAATTTTACATTTAACGAGTTACCACGGCAACACACCATGACGCAATTTGTATATTTTGTAAAATTTCTTGATTTTTCTGGTTTTTTAACAAATTTTAAGTATATTTTAGATTGGCAAAGTATGTGCGCATCCAAGAAACAAATTTATATTAAGTGAGATTATGTCAATAGTTATAGTAAAGCTTCTCTTTGTTGTTGTTTCTTGGCTGTGCCAAATGTTTTCATAATGGAAATAACGATGGAAAACTGCATAAATTCTGGTTTTTTTTCATCGTTTTCATGAAAACGGTACATATTATGACGTAATTGTGACGTCATCAGATAGACATCTTATATTTTTCATTTGTATTTCTTAACTCTATGCATTTCCAAACATTATGTGCTAATTTAGGATAGCACATAGTGAAAATTGCTTAGCGTGTTACTTCTATTAATATTATACATGTACATGTATGATAAATAACAAAGTATATTTTAACATAGAAATACAAAGTATATATTAACATTGAAGACTCATTATGATTTCTCCAAGTTATTAACTGTAAATTCAGTTTATATGACAATAATATTGGTTTTTCGCATTCGCTGTATTTTATTACTTTTCTTTTTTGGTTTATCATGTTTATGTAACAATAACAATGTAATCTGTAAATATTATAATAGTAAATAGTTTTCAAACATTTTATTTTCTTGGGCCAAAAATGGGCTTTTATGCCCCTTCTCCTTTATCATACATGTACATGTATAATATTAATAGAAGTAAAACGCTAAGCAATTTTCACTTTGTCAATGGTTTAATGTAGAAGGCATTCAACAAATCGCTAGCACACAGATGTGAATCATAAGATTTTTGTCAAACATCAAAAATATTTAAATTCATGATATACAAAGTATTGCAAAATAATACTTTTATGTATAATCCGTGCAAACACTTATCACGAATAAAGTAAAAACATGTAATGCTGAAAAATATTTACAATCATTTGAAAAAAAAACACTTATAGTTATTATAATTATAGTAAATATATGATTCGTGTTAATAGGTTAATATAATGTATAAACTGTTAACAATTCAGCATTGCATAAAAAATCCAAGTTGTCCCCTTTGCACGGCCTCTTAACTGATATATTTTTGTCGCCTTCATATTACAAGCAAAATTGAACAATGCTCAACAAAGTACACAAGGTCAAAATGTTATAATGAATATAATAGTTCACAATCTCTAATTTATGCGAATCATTCCTGAGGAATAATTGTACTTTTTCACATCCTGAAAAAAACCAAAATAATTTTATTTTAATATAGAAAGAGATATAAATAGATAGAATAAAATAACCATAGCAGTATACAAATAAATCTATTTTGAATGCTTAACTTAGGTAGATATCATCAAAAATATTTATTGTCTATCGTTAACATAGAAGACTCATTCTGATTTCTCAAAGTTATTAACTGTAAATTCAGTTTATATGACAATAAAATTGGCTTTTTGCATTCGCTGTATTTTATTACTTTTCTTTTTTGATTTATCATGTTTATGTAACAACTGATTATAGATACGTAGCTCCAACATATATTCTCCCCTGTCATGGCGGCCCTATAAAAATTATAAGCTTACGATAAAAAGTAGTAATTTCACAAAGCAAACTAATTTGTCCAAAAATAACAATGTAATCTGTAAATATCTAAAAACATTACTTCTGTTTTATTTCAAGTGTTCTGTAAGTAACAATGATTATATATGATTACATGATCAACGCATGATGTGACAAATGTGATTTTTTACATAGGAAAGTCAGATATATACTCGTTAATACTGGGACTTTTGAAGTTATTGCCCAACTCAAGTATGTTATCATGGACAATTATTCAAAGGTAACACTATTTACATCAAGGCTTTTGAAAAATACTTTACGCATCTAATTACTGAGGTCAGGTCAGAAGTTGTGCAAGTAAAGTGAGATAAAAGCACTACACAAACTGAGTTGGAAAAACGAAGACATGGTCATAACGAGCTCAAGACAGGTATGTCAGGTATAGGGCACATAGAGTCACAACTTGATACTCAAGAAATGGAAAATATTGAACCCTAACAAATTGCATTGACGATAAACTATTAGTATCGAAAACCTTTTTTTCTAAAGAAACATGAACGTAAATTCAATAATCACATTTATGGTATAAAACTACAATTCTTAGATATATGCATTATTCTGACAAACAGTTAATGATGAAAATTACATACAAATGAAAAAACAGAGTAGCAGATGATTTACCATTCGTGATTAAAGAGGCACGAAACGAACTGGCAAACTTTGCATATATAACATGCATAATAGAAACTGATGAGTAATTACAAACCAAAAAAAAAAAACTATTTCACTTTCATTAATGATTGACAAAATGATTGAACACAAAAAAAACATATTTTAGATTCTCGTAGCTAGTGCCCCTTAAACTCAAGGAATGTGTGGCATATGCGCAAAATAATTACTTATGTCTTATGATACAAGACCATGTATGAGTTTGAATTTAAAATTGTACATTCAGGCTGAGGTGATATTATTTATTTTTGCTCTATTACTTACGAACTTATTACTTAATTTTAATATATTTAAATGCTCAATCTTTCTTAGGACTGTCTTGTCATTAAGTATACTGCTATATTTATGTTGTTTGCTTGTGTGTTTTTGCTTTTGTTTTAGTTGCAATCATATATGATATACCTAGGATGCATGTTAGTTCATAGTCTTATTATTTTATCTTTAGTTTTTCTTTATTTAGGGCCAAACAAATGTATAATTTTTATCATTCATTGGTACATACAGGAGAAACCTAATATCAATAAAAAAAGAAAATAGTTAGCGTAAGGAGTCGTTTATTAAATGATGCTTTTTTTAGTATTTAAAAATACGGACAATTATAAAAAATATATATAAAAATCTACCAGTTAAACAGCTGCACTCCACGCCTTTTAAATATTTCAAAATACTAATAAAAACCTTTCACATGATCAGGGAGACTTTTGAGATTTTTAAAAATGTTACAATAATCCAACCACACGCCATAAGTCAAAGGACCATGTGTTGTTAAACATTTAGTGTTGGGGCTCTCCAAGGTTTTTTTTTATTTGTACTAAATTGTTGATACCTCAAACTTTAAATCACAAACTATTATATATAAGGTACCTTCATAACTTGTTATGTTTAACATCACCAACTGCATCTTCTTATCAAAATAAAGATTACATACTACTTGAAAGCCTGTATGTACCAACCATGTTTCTCCATCTACATTTTAAAATATACTGTTTAACGGGATCTTGAAAACAATATGCATTGCTCTAACATATGTAAATGCTGTGTTATCCTTTTGTTTAGCTTTTATATCAACTGCTAGTCCTTTTTTCTATACTCATGTTTAATGTGTGCATGACAAGAACCATTTCTTTGCTAGTTTGTTAACTATCATTTCTTATAATCAGGATTAGATTAAATTATATACTGCTTTGCAGAGAAATAGTTATCTCATGTATGTTCAAACTTACACTCAATAAAGCATACATGCTGACATGATTACTTGTATTTAGCAAACGAGCTACAAGTTAAAAAAAAAACCAAACACACTATGACACCTAAATGAATCCAGTATTCTTTTTTGTTTTAAACCTATAGCTTGGCAAAAGAGTAAAATTTGTTCACACTTTAATTAAATGTCACACATACAAAGTAAATCAATAAATTAATAACTAAACTAGTAATCATTTCAATCACTGACTCTTAGAATCATACATATTGATTAATGATGTACTCGCCTTTAGCCTTTTTAGTTTTATGATAGAGAAATCTCCAAAATATTTTTGTACTTGCAAAAATAGAATAGTAGTGGATATATTACTGTTTTATGACATAAACCTTTTTTTCTAAAGAAACATGAACGTAAATTCAATAATCACATTTATGGTATAAAACTACAATTCTTAGATATATGCATTATTCTGACAAACAGTTAATGATGAAAATTACATACAAATGAAAAAACAGAGTAGCAGATGATTTACCATTCGTGATTAAAGAGGCACGAAACGAACTGGCAAACTTTGCATATATAACATGCATAATAGAAACTGATGAGTAATTACAAACCAAAAAAAAAAAACTATTTCACTTTCATTAATGATTGACAAAATGATTGAACACAAAAAAACATATTTTAGATTCTCGTAGCTAGTGCCCCTTAAACTCAAGGAATGTGTGGCATATGCGCAAAATAATTACTTATGTCTTATGATACAAGACCATGTGTGAGTTTGAATTTAAAATTGTACATTCAGGCTGAGGTGATATTATTTATTTTTGCTCTATTACTTAAGAACTTATTACTTAATTTTAATATATTTAAATGCTCAATCTTTCTTAGGACTGTCTTGTCATTAAGTATACTGCTGTATTTATGTTGTTTGCTTGTGTGTTTTTGCTTTTGTTTTAGTTGCAATCATATATGATATACCAAGGATGCATGTTAGTTCATAGTCTTATTATTTTATCTTAGTTTTTCTTTATTTAGGGACAAACAAATGTATAATTTTTATCATTCATTGGTACATACAGGAAAAACTTATATCATTAAAAAAAGAAAATAGTTAGCGTAAGAAGGTTTATTAAATGATGCTTTTTTTAGTATTTAAAAATACGGAAAATTATAAAAAATATATATAAAAATCTACCAGTTAAACAGCTGCACTCCACGCCTTTTAAATATTTCAAAATACTAATAAAAACCTTTCACATGATCAGGGAGACTTTTGAGATTTTTAAAAATGTTACAATAATCCAACCACACGCCATAAGTCAAAGGACCATGTGTTGTTAAACATTTAGTGTTGGGGCTCTCCAAGGTTTTTTTTTATTTGTACTAAATTGTTGATACCTCAAACTTTAAATCACAAACTATTATATATAAGGTACCTTCATAACTTGTTATGTTTAACATCACCAACTGCATCTTCTTATCAAAATAAAGATTACATACTACTTGAAAGCCTGTATGTACCAACCATGTTTCTCCATCTACATTTTAAAATATACTGTTTAACGGGATCTTGAAAACAATATGCATTGCTCTAACATATGTAAATGCTGTGTTATCCTTTTGTTTAGCTTTTATATCAACTGCTAGTCCTTTTGTCTATACTCATGTTTAATGTGTGCATGACAAGAACCATTTCTTTGCTAGTTTGTTAACTATCATTTCTTATAATCAGGATTAGATTAAATTATATACTGCTTTGCAGAGAAATAGTTATCTCATGTATGTTCAAACTTACACTCAATAAAGCATACATGCTGACATGATTACTTGTATTTAGCAAACGAGCTACAAGTTAAAAAAAGAACCAAACACACTATGACACCTAAATGAATCAAGTATTCTTTTTTTGTTTTAAACCTATAGCTTGGCAAAAGAGTAAAATCTGTTCACACTTTAATTAAATGTCACACATACAAAGTAAATCAATAAAATTAATAACTAAACTAGTAATCATTTCAATCACTGACTCTTAGAATCATACATATTGATTGATGATGTACTCGCCTTTAGCCTTTTTAGTTTTATGATAGAGAAATCTCCAAAATATTTTTGTATTTGCAAAAATAGAATAGTAGTGGATATATTACTGTTTTATGACATCATGATTTGTTTTCATCTTTTTCTTCCTCTTTCTAGATGTACGTCTTTTTCTTTTTTTCGTGTTTTTGGTACAATTCTATATAATATCATTAAGCAGCATCTTTGTTGTACATGTACTTTTGTTACAACTTTATTTCACACAGTAATCATTGAAGGCCGTACTTTGACCTATTATGTTACTTTCTGTGTCATTCGGTATCTTGTGGAGAGGTGTCTCATTGACAATCATACCACATCTTGGTTTTTTTAATGGCAAGTCAGATCAGACTTCTTAAGGTGAATTTGACATGCTCACTCGTAAAAAAACAGTTGTACGGGTCAATTGATTTCTGCTGCATTGTTTTTTCTCATACAATTGTCAAGGTCTAGATTCAAAAGAAAAGCGAAGACTGAGATATTTTGACTATCTTAATAAAAACAACAGTAATATATATTACTCGCGAGATGCAAATATTTCAGACAATGATGACATATCAATAAAAACCTATGGGGAGGGGAGTGCATTTTTACCTCATTTTCAACAAATCAAAGAGGGACAGCGATTGTATTCACAACACACTTTGAGTATAAGATACATAAAGTAAAAAAAAACGACCAAGGAAACTTGTAAGAAATTGATAAAGAAATTAAAGGAAAAGGAATGACCATAATAATCTTATATGGTCCAAACAAAGACACACCAGAATTTTATATAACTATAAGTGAAATAATAGAAATCTTAAATAACCAGCCAGTTGTTATTACTTAAGATAATAATTTAGTACAAAACCAAGTCTTGATACATATAATTATCAAAATATTCACAATCCAAATCAAGTTCTAGACTTAATAGAATTTTATTATTTAACAGACCCATTTATAGAAAGTTACACAGACTTAAAAACATCACATGAAGAAAAGCTTATCCCATAATTCAAGCGAGACTATTCTGATTTTTGATATCCCAAGACCATTATCAAAATGACTATGATGTACAAATGCATAAAAGTTTTTGATCCGATCACTACCAAATCATATCTTATCTGATTATGTATGGTTTCATAATCATGATAATTGAAAAAGGAATTAAGCAAATTCAACTATTCGCACTTTACCATGATATTGAAAAAGAGGGACGAAAGATACCAGAGGGACATTCGAACTCATAGATCAAAGATAAACTCACAACGTCATAGCTACAAAAGAAAAGGACAAACAGACAAACAATAGTACACAAATCTCAAAATGGAAAAAAAAGACTAAGCAACACAAACCCCTCCAACAAATGGGGGTTAGGGAGTGATTTCAGGTGCTCTGGAAGGGTTAGTAGATCCTTCTCCACATGTGGCACCCGTCGTGTTTTTCATTGAATATTCTAATACAAAAAAGACAAAAGTCATAAAGTAAAGGACCACTATGCATCAGTAGTATAAAATAGAGATACTTTGAAAACAAGTGAATGAGTCATTTATTAACTTTTAACTTCAAAATACCAACTGTTTTTTTTAGAAATATTACTTTTTTAAATAAGACGGAAAACTATGCTTTATGCATCTTATAAAAAGAAATACAAATAAAATACTATGGAAATAATGGATACATAATAATGAACTAGTTGTAATGTATATTTCAGAATTTAAAGAAAGAACAACTACTAACTAGTTCTACTTAGATATACAGTAGAATGTTTAACGATGCCGGGATAAGGTATCGGTTTTGTCTCTATCTAACTGACAAATCCTAAAATGTTAAATACAGTATGATGAAATAAAAAAAAAAACTACTACCCTGTACGTCTTTTGTAACAATCTTTAAATATGTACACACTAATTACCCTAACGTTTCATAGATTATCGAATTATACTGAAGATAAAAGCCATTTTTTTATAAAGAACGTATGCATTTTTTTGTTTTTACGCATTTTTAAACCTAGACAAGTTATAAGCAAAAGTATGTCGAATATTAGAAAACTGTAAATGAAACAAATTGTTATGTTACCATTGGCTTAGGACATTTTTGTGTTCATCATTTGTAAATTTGTCTATGACATATTACCTTCTAATTAACAGGAGCGTTGGAACAACAACAATTGCAAGTCCCCCAACTGCAGCACCTAAATAAAGTATATCTGGACTGATGGTCTGCTTACTGTGTTCGTACAGTTTTTCTGAACTGGTTGTCTGCTTACTAAGTTCGTACAGTGTGTTTGAACTGGAAGTCTGCTCTTTGGGTTCGTCCAGTTTTTCTGAACTGGTTGTCTGCTTACTTAGCTCGTACAATATGTCTGAACTTGTAGTCTGCTTGCTGGGTTCGTACAGTTTTTCTGAATTGGTTGTTTGGTTACTGGATTCGTACAGTATGTCTGAGCTGGTAGTCTCTTTACTTGTTTCGTACAGTATGTCTGAACTGGTAGTTTGTTCACTTGGTTCGTACTGTTTTTCTGAACTGGTTGTCTGCTTACTGGTTTTGTACTGTATATCTGGACTGGTAGTCTGCTTACTGTGTTTGTACAGTATTTTTTGAGTGGCAGTCTGCTTACTGGGTTCGTACAGTTCTTCCGAACTGGTTGTCTGCTTACTGGTTTCGTACATTATTTCTGAACTGGTAGTCTGCTCACTGGTTTCGTACAGTATTTCTGAGTTGGTATTCTGCTGCCTGGTTTCGTACAGTTTTTCTGAAATGGTAGTCTGCTTACTGGTTTCGTTCAGTTTTCCTGCAATGGTAGTCTGCTTACTGGGTGCGAATTTTGTTGACGGTTTGCACATTTTATGTTCTTGGTTGTAGCATTTTCTCTCAACAACGCATACATCGTCCTATAACCGTAAAAATATTGTTTGTCAAAAATGTCAACTGTACATTAGTAAAAATTATCTATACTTATATTTGTGTAACCCTGTCTGAAAAAAAAAGTATGATAAAAATAGGTGAATTACTGATTATTACTGTGAACAAAGCGATCTGCTAGTACTAAATTTGTTGGCTTTAAATGAACTAGTTAGTTGCATTTTTGTAAAGTTTCTATTATATATTTTGTATGATACTCACCATTTCTGATTTAATGGTATACATTTTGTAATTCTTTTAAAATAGATGTAAATTAAGTAACAAAAGACAATTGAAGACAATTAAGACTGATTATTTTTTAAATTCTAATGGATACAGATAAACAATAGTTTCACGGAAAAAAGTTGTAGCAAAGGTTAAAACAAATATGCCGTCAAAAAAAAGAATGTCAAAGCAGTTGTATTTTAGAAAAATTCAGACACATTATTCAGTTTCGGTCGTTCTCATTTGATGCTTCCACATTTAACGATATGAGGCGATGAATAATTACCACGACTAACCAGCTTAAGGTCAATCAAACATACCTGCCTAACAAAAACATATTTTAAAACAATATGTTACACTATTAATGGACTCAAATATAAAAACAAAATACAAAACTATAAAATTTCCAAATTGATATTCACCATCAAATATAGTACCTAGTGAACAGTGACAAGATTCCTGACTTGTTTTGGATAGTTTTTTTTTTCACTGTTCATCTTATGTAGTGAATATAAAAAAAAAGCAAAAAGAAAATCACAAAATTATGAACTCCGAGGAAAATTCAAAAAAGGAAAGTTCCTAATCAAATGGCAAAATCAAAAGCTCAAACACATCAAACGAATGGATAACAACTGTCTTATTCCTGACTTGGTACAGGCATTTTCTTATGAAGAAAATGGTGGATTGAACCTGGTTTTATAGCTAGCTAAACCTCTCACTTGTATGACAGTTGCATCTAATTCCATTATAATGACAACGATGGGTGAACAAAACAAACAGACATAATAGGTAAAAATGTCAAAAATAGGGGAACAGCAGTCAACATTGTGTTATAATCTTAAGCACTATAAAAACAAACAAGTATGTTAAAAGGAAGCACAAAAAGGCATATATCAAATTTAACAACCTCATTCATTACATTTTTATTATACGATTTTAAATACTGGGACCGAATCCTTACCCTGACAGGCACATGGTTAGGTTAACATTAACTATGACGTAGAATCGCGCGTTTGACGTACATCAGTTGTTTATCATGTAACGTCACACAGGTAGATATAAAATAATTTTGTCGTTCAAAGTATGAACAAAATATTGTCTAAAGTTCTTTTAGGCATATCCTCTGCAGAATCTAAATTAAAAGTTTCCCTTGTCCTTCTTGCCGCTTGTCTATATGCATATTGTGAATTTCTTCTAAACAAAAGAGCAAAGAAACACCAAAGGGGCATATAGACAAAGCACATTAGCAAAAATGAAAGACAAGAATACAAATTTATCATAGAACAATAACACTATAGCGGGATGTATAAGTACAGAGCCACGTCATATGTATCAATGAAACACAAAAAGTCATATAGGCAAAGAATAATAGCAAAATGAAAGATAAGAATACAAAAATTAAAGAACAATAACACAATGACGGGATGCATAAGTACAGAGTCACGTGAATATCACCAAAAACAGACTAAACAGTAAAAGTAATATTAATAAAGACAAATAAAAGAATACTTAACACGTTATTACGATTATAAACAACGTCAGTACGCAGAATCTATACTTCAAGACCATTGTGTATCATTTGTGAAGATGATACGGAATATTTATCAACAAGGTCTTGGTACCTTCCAATGAACTTTATTTGAAAAAGAACGAGACGTTCTTTGACATACCCCTGGTTCATCAACTTTCTGCTCAGACACTGGTGACGTTTTACAAATTCTGAGTAAGAGCTGCAAGCTCTTGAATACCGAATAAGTTGGGAAATGTATATCCCATATGCAGGTGAAGTTGGTATATTGCTACAAAGATGGGGGAAATTGATAATTTCAAAATTAAAAGCGACAAACGTACTACAAAAAATCGAATATAGGCTAGTATATATAGTTTTATAATAGGTTTGTGATAAGTATTTACCCTCATTCTACAGTCCACGGTGCCGTTTTTGTCCTTGCAGATCGTGCACGTAGAATCATACACTATTATCGGAGAACCTGTTGAATACTTGATCTCATCAAAGGAGACCGCCACCAAGTACGCATCTAGTACAGGGAAGACTTGTGATTTATTGACATCCATTTGTTCTAGTGGGCATTTTACTTCAGCGAAAGTTATCAACGATCCGTCAGTTGTAACATTGAGTAAATTCGGCTTTACCTCATTTTGCTCGATCTACAAAAATAATTCAACATTTATGTAATTGAAATAAACAAGATAAAATGTAATGGATGATTACAGGCGGCAAACCAGTTGAAATTAAACATAAGAAATGGAACACTTTGTTAGAAATTGTAACAAATCCATACAGGTATGTTTCTATAAGATTTAAAAGTTTAACACACTGCAAACTGTCGGATTTTACGCATCTTATATTCGTGTGTTTACTTAAATTATAATATGGAGCTTCGATATATTTGTATACTTTTAATTGATAGACACATTTTAATAAAAGTCGAAGGTGCAAATGCAAGTGGAGCTTTTCTGTGCATGAGCCGAAAATAGTCCACATGAAGATAATAGATTATCCTTTCAAAGCATTTATTTGCATTTCTGCCCCCGTCGACAGTTTTAAGGGAAAAACATGCTACAAAGGACAAACATTTCATCGAAAGGAGAAAGTCAAGTGCACCTTTCTAGCTCACCTGGCCCACAGGCCCAAATGAGCTTTTCTCATCACTTGGTGTCCGTCGTCCGTCGTTGTCGTCGTCCGTCGTCGTCGTTTACTTTTACAAAAATCTTCTCCTCTGAAACTACTAGGCTAAAGTAAACCAAACTTGGACACAATCATCATAGTGTCTAGTTTAAAACAAATGTGTCCGATAACCCCGCCAGTCAACCAACATGGCCGACATGACTTAAAAAGAACAGTTTTCGGCTTATATCTCTGAAACTCTAGCATTTAGAGCAACCTTGACAATAAGTAAAAATGTTAATCAGGTTAAGATTTATCTGTCCTGAAATTTTCAGAATAATCAGACAAGCCGTTATTGGGTTGCTGTCCCTGAATTGGTAATTTTAAGGAAATTTGGCAGTTTTTGGTTATTATCTTGAATATTATTATAGATAGAAATAAACTGTTAACAGCAATAATGTTCAACAAAGTTAGATCTACAAATAAGTCAAATGACTAAAATGGTCATGACCCCATAAGGAGTTATTGCCCTTTAAGGTCGAATTTTACAATTTTTCCTTTATTTTTGTAATCTTTCACAAAAATCTACTGCTGAAAAAAATGAGACAAGTTTAACCAAACTTGGCCACAATAAGCATTAGGCTATTTAGTTTTAAAAATGTGTCCGATAAACCTGCCTGCCAACCAACATGGCATACATTGCTTAATATATAACATAGAGAAAAAATGCAGTTTTTGACTTATATCTCCGAAACTTAAGCAAAGTATAACGGTTGCATTATTCCATGCATGAATTATAAATGAAAATATCAGGTGAGCATCACAGGCTCCTTGGAGCCTCTAGTTTTATGTTCAAGCGTGTTTGACGGTTTTGTGTTGAGAACGTTCAACGCAAAACAAAAATCATATATCATTTCGCTTCAGATTTTGTTTTTTATATATATATTTAGGCGCTACAGGTTGATTTAATAACAATTTATATTTACCGATTTAACTACAATGCTTGTAAATTGTTTGGTTTTACTTGTCACTTCGGGGACTTTGATGACTTATTATGAGGATGATTGGGTATACGTTTTCTTCGTTGTTAACGGCCGTATAGTTGTTGATTTCTACATCATGTGGTCTATGGTGGAGAATTGACTCGTTGGCTATCATAAAAAATCTTCTTATTTTCATCCGGAGTTTACATGTTATAAGTCTTTATTTACAATATTATAATATTTGAACAATGCTGAACATGTATCTATTTAAATCAGGTATAAGAAATTTCAGTCTGATAAGAACCAAGAATTATGAAATAATGAAATAAGTTCAATGGTTTAAACGACATAAAACGTGATAACGAAAGTAAACTTCCTTAATGTTTATCAAACAGATGCATTAGTCTAAAAGCATTTAAAAGTTTTAACCTTGCTGCCAAATCATCAAAACTCACATACAAGGTGGTATTTGAACGGAGATTGGATTTGATGATATTGGTCTAACTGGCTTGTGTACTGAATGTGTGCAATGTCACTCATTCAAAAATAGCAACTGGCTGTCTAGAAAAAAACAACGTATATTTACAATAGAGTACATTTTTGTCTGAAAAATTGTTTATTTATCATATACATTAACTGAATTATGTATTGTGTCTGAAAAGTATCTAAAATATGTACCTTTGCGTCTATTATGCGACATTTCACTCTGTCTGATGCATAAAATCCATTTCCAAACACCGAAATAAAAGAACATGGCCTTTTTGATAAATCACAGAATGATTCCTCAACTAACCCGAATAATTCAGGTCCTTTCCGGCGGTCAACTGAGCAATCTTCACCTTCGAATCCGTTATCACATTCACATATCCCTTTAAAAGGTTTTAAAAATGATAAAGGCGTTAGTTCTAATTGGTTTAACAGTTTGAAAAAAGTGTTTATGCATATATCGAATTCACTATATATATAAATATGTGTTTATAGTAATAACGTTTAGAATAAGAATTGTATTTTTTCAATTATCTACATGATATATGTCATGAAGATGATTGATGTAAAGTGGACAGAACTTACTTCTATAGCAGCTTATATTACCCCCAGTTTACGTCTTTGTTTAGATTACACATTATATTAATTTGATTGATATGTATTATAATTAGTTTTCAAAATGTCATGTTTTGAATATTTTTTCATCGTTTATGTGCCTCTCTCCTCGACTTGGTAATTTTCATTTCCCTTTCGTATGGTATAAAAATAAAATCATGTACCTTGCTGACAAATTCCTGATTCTGAACAATCGTTTGGACAATCATTGTTGAAAACTGTTTCTGCGATGTCCAAAATAGAAATGTCCTCATTTTCTAGTATTTCCAAGTTGCGTGCAGTTGTTGACGTTGTTGTAGGTTGCGTTTTCACGTTCAATTTCAAATTTTGTTCCGTAGTTGTTTGCAGCTTTGGTTCTGGTTTTGGCTTCCAAAAAGATGTGTTCAGTCGTATTTCATTTACGCATGCCGTTTTCATTGAGTCCAATGACGCTGATAGAAACACAGTTGAACCAGATAGCTATATAAAACAAACAAAATTCGATTTCTATAGTATCATCATTGTATTAACAATACAAAATGTCCACGACTATATTGCTTTCAATGAACACAATAGATTTTAGTGGGGAATAGTAATTAAAGACTATACCAAGAATTGGCCTTTTCGCGTTGAACATATCAATTATTCCAAATCCAACATGTGCTATCTTATAAATTGATACATTTTGAGAAAAAACTTTGTAATTGGAGACCGTTTTAATATTTTTCAAATTAAATTAAGAAATAACCTTTATATCAGCTACACATGTTGTCCTATCGACACCACTAGACTGGGTTATTTTGCTGCACAAGTTAAAAAGTTTTGACTTCTCAAAATAAGATTCACAGGCATTGACTGCCTTTTTCTCTGTCCAACCATTCTCCCATTTGAACTCCTGAAACAGTATTGTAACATTATCAATATTGAAAAAATGAACTTTTAAAACACATTTCAATGAAAAAAAGCAAACTAAAATTTTAGGCATTCCAAATGTTTTTCTGGAATGCTCTTAACCGATCACTTGAAAATCAAGCTTTATTAGTATTGTTTTATCTAAAGGAACATAAGAATGAATAGGGGATGAATTATATCAGTACTGATGCACTGACTACTGAATTATATCATCGGGCACTTACATTTGTCAGCAGTAATATCGATCATCCTGTGAAAGTAAAACGATGTACTAACAAAAATTATGAACTCCAAGATAATCTTCTAAAGGAGAAGTCAATAAAAACTGTCAAAACCAAACGTTATCAATTGCAATCAACAACATATTGAAACAACTATTTCATATTTCGGAGTTGGTATAGTTATTTTCCAAAGAATATTGTTTTATTCTGATTCTATTTCCTAGGTTTACTTTCATCACACACACTAAAACCTTAACATTTAAAAGCCAGACATGCATAGACACACTATCCTTAAAAGCTATATGTAGGACACCTTTCAGACTAAAATAAACTGAAAACACATATAATATTTGAAATATATGTTTCTTCCGCCAATATTCCAATCTACAATAAATATACCCATACAAACTTACTTTATGACTCTGTTAGCAAATATAATACACAAATTGACCAGAAAGCTTCAAAACGAACTTTTATTGAAGGGTATGATAATTGTACATACTATTGCAATGGAAACATAAGAAAGTATTAATTTTCACAAAACGAAATTTGCAAATATTTAATTTTATTAACTTGCGTGTCCTATTCGACCAAATGATTTCAACACTGTGCATTGTCTGGTTTTAAAAGAGTATTGTGTGTTCAATGAAGCTTATATTGAAGGTAAAAGAAGTCAGGTTGTGGGTCCTGGAGTAAAGACTATCAACTTTCGCAATTTTATAATATCAATATATTTATAAATAAAAAAGAATAGCGTCAACCCAACTTTCCGTGTGAAACCCTCTGCATCAACTTTTAGGACTATCTAGATATGAGGCAGTAATGAAACTTTAAAGGCAGATCGAATCATAACTGAAATTCAAAAGCAAAGCGTGTCTTTTTCGGGGCATTAGGGTTGCGATGTTTTATTTATTGTTCCAAACAGAATTGATCATATATATGATATTCAAACAGTATATTCCATGTTGAATTGTTGTTAATGTAAAAATGACAAGCTACATCAACAATGAAAGAAAGGCAAGTTGCAGTAGTTATTCATTGGTTATCTTGTTGTTGTATGTATGCCTCCATTTAGTCATATGCCTGAAAGATTGATATGTGTTTGCCTTATGTCAAGTGGAAATATTGCATGTATGTTCAGGACGTGAACAACCAAACAAATACAATTGACTGGTCCTGTAATATCTATCGACTGGGATGAAGAGAATATTTGGACAGGCACTGAATAAAGAGGGTCAATTGGACAGGAATATCAATTTTCCGTTGTAGCATACGACCTTTAGCACAATAAAAGTGTTTTTGCAAGGTTTCTTAAAGCCCCAGAGAGCATGGCGACTCCTCAACATGAGACGTCAGTTTCTAGAACGTAGCTGCTGCATATGTATGCATTCCATACCACCAAACAATGTTAAAAAAAACTTGAAGTTAAAAATTCAAATCAATACAATTAATATAAACTGTATTATGATACAAACTTTTTATTCAACTGTTAAATGCTGTTATATTTAATATTCAGTTTATGGTTAACGTCGAATGGCATTATAGAATTGAAAACAAAACAACTGGAAATGTCATCGGGTGTCGTTACATATGTTTTTGTCAAAGATGAAAGCCATTTGCAGTAAACATTTTAATTATAATTTAAATATATAAATGCAACACTTTGATGTACGCTCGGTTCAGATTAATGCAGTAAATGATTCAATTTCGAAATGGACATAATGAGTCTTTCGGTGTTATTATAATTTACTTTTCTTTCTTTTTATTTTTTTTTTAAGGAAAAGTCTTGCATGATTGAGCAACTAACTAATTAATCCATAATTAATTCGTCAGATTCCAATATAAAAGAGGAGCAAAAGATACCAGAGGGACAGTCAAACGCATAGATCGAAAATAAACTGACAACGCCATGGCTAAAAAAATGAAAAGACAAACAAACAAAAAGACAAATAATAGTTCACAAGACACAACATAAAAAACTAAACATTAAGCAACACGAACCACACCAAAAGTTGGGAGTTTACTTAATTCACGTGTACAAACTATTCTGTACAAGCTACCCAACAATTGTTTCAGTCAAACAAAGAAATTGCATAAAATTGAGAATGGAAATATGGAATGTGTCATATAGACAACAACCCAACCAAAGAGCAGAAAACAACCGAAGGTCACCAACGGGTCATCAACACATCGGATAAATCCTGAACTGAATCCTAATCAGGTAACTAAAATGATAATATTTCTTGAATATTAAAATAAGGAGATGTGGTATTATTTTATACAAGACAACCTTCAATCAAAGAAACACTTAAGTGGTTGTAAGCCATTACAGGCAACAAAATGGCAAAAAAAAATTTAGAAAAAACGCATACCGTACAGTCGATATAAAAGGCCCAAACATGAAAAATAAAGAATAATTCAATTGAGAAAACTAACGACCTAATTTTTAACAAAACAATTTTTGACAGACATGAACCAGCGAGAACCACTGAATTACAGAGCCTTGTATAACGGGACAGACACATACAGAATGTGGCGCGGTTAAACATGCTTGAAAGGGCCAATACTTCCTCACCAGGGACAGTGGATGGAGTAAGTTGTCGAGCGAATCATTACCTTCCTTAATTAAAGTGTTTGACAAATATGCGTATACTGAAATTGAAACTGTAATTGCATTTACCCAATTGAACAATGCTGTGAACAGTTAAACGCATACTAATATAATATGGTGTAAATTGGAAGGAGCGATGTATCCTTTGAAATATCTTTTAAAATTTGGAATTTCTTAATTTTCATCAAAATATTAAGACACCTTATTCACGAAATTCAATTGAGATGCAAACACACAATTTTACTGGTCGCAACTACTAGATGCTACATGTGTCTATAAACCGCAAGATCCTGAATGGATATAACATTGTTGCATATACATGTTACATGTATAACGGGAAACTTAACCTTTTTGATAATATTATCGATTTTCATACATTTGTATTGTTGTAAACTAAAAAGTCAGTAGGGGTGACATAATAGTAGTATATTAAATTCTCTAAAGGTGTACTGGTGAGTACATAAAGAATGACTATTGGTCTTTTTCGTACCTGCAGAAAACAATTTGCCAAATTTTAGCGTCCGTTTGGCTGTGCGAGCTGTGCAAGTACGCTGTCACGTCTGGTCGGAACGTTAAATCTGATGTCTAGTGTGGATATAATGCAACAATGTCTGCACGTTTAAGACCCTTATAAAAACTCGGGGAAAAGGAGGGCATTGGTGATCTGTTTCAAGGAAACTGGTTGTCCTTATCTAAAATATTCTTCTCCTTCCCGGGGCATTATGCATTTTAGAGCCCTTCATACCGAACAAACTCTGTTACCGGATCTGACAAATTGAGACAGGACCGTGTATCCAACTGTCTTATCAAACTATAAAATTATGAACTCATCTCTATCAAACAACGATTGGAAACAAAAATTGAAAACAATATCAGTAATAATATATATTCAGTAGGACAAATAAACGTTAAATGCCAATTTTCATCACCTTTGGACCCTTTCTAAAGGCAACCACATCAATCGGGACATCAAATTCAAAGTCATCTGATATTTCCCGTTTCGTTCTTCCATAGTTGCGACATGTATTTTCCTTCCAGTTTACAGGCTTACACAGCGGTAAGCTGTCCTTCCATGTGCAATCTGCCGTTTCTTTTATTTCCTCTTGTATTTCTTGTAAAAGAGACTCGTTGTAACATGTACAATACATAACTTCAGTCCTCATCTTCTCTGATCTAGCCTTTGCTATAAAAAGGCTTTGACTTCTAGGAACCCTAGTTATTGAAAAAAGCAATCTGATTAATTTACAGATCATGTGTCCTAGCTGTACCTATCTTAAATTGAAAACGTTCAAAACTTCTTTTTGATATTAAAGAAGTTTCTGTGTCTTCTTATTCTGTCGGATTTGTCAGATCTTCAAAATCAACGCGTTAAACAGGAAATGTAAGTCAATCAGATTGTTAAAAGAAACTATTAAAAGTATCTTTCTCAAAATAAACGTTTTAAAATTTGTTAACTTCAACACCCAGGCAAATCCATCTAAGGAAAACTTGGCCTAAGATGGATTTTTTAATTTGTTTTGTTAACTACGTTTTGGTTTTTATATCTTTAACATTCTCGGTCCTTATACATCTTTGGCTTTGATATATTCGGTTCGAGTATTTCTGTGAAGGTAAATACAGAAAATCGCTTCGTACGCATGCAATTTATAACATGTTTAAAACTATTTTGACATTTTTGTCCTGTGTTAAGTAGACATACATTTCATTTCTTGATGTGACAATAAGCCTTTTAATTTTTCTTTAAATACGACAAAGAGGCGATAGATACCAGTAGGGCATTAGAACTCATATATCTAAAATAAACCGACAACACCATGACAAAAAATGAAAAAAAAAAACAGACAAATAATAGTACATAAGACACAGCATAGAAAACTAATAACTAAGCTACACGAATCCAACCAAAAACTGGGGGTGATCTCAGGTGCTCCGGAAGGGTAAGCAGATCCTGCTCAACATGTGGCACCCGTCGTGTTGCTCATGTTACTAGTATTTCATGAATAATTTCGTGCCTCTGTTGATATAAATTAACGCTTACTTACTTCCAGCTGCTCATGAATTCTGCTTGGGCAACAATATTCCCGTTCTTGTTGGTGAAGTCATCGGTACTTCGGCCATTGTACAATCCACATAGTCCTTCGGTTTCTTCCCAGTCCAATGCAGAAACAGTGATGTAAACATTTAACCAGTATTTGTTGACAAGTACAGTTATACGTGTTCCAGTTGGCATAACCACCTTTAAATCATAATCATATAATTCGTAATATTGTTGAACCATTTCCTTGTTGACATTTTTTTGTTAATTTTAATTGAATCATACATAAAAACCAAAGATGTTTGCACTATTTAACTTGTCATAGTTAATTTTTTTCTCTAGACAACATTATGTTTTATTAAAAAAAAATACGACATTCAATTTGAATTTTAATAGTGTTTAAAGTGGCATTGAACACCAATTAATCAATCAATCAATCAATTCACTTGAACTGCTCTATTTCGACATTCTTACTCTTTTAACAAAATGCACAGACTTATTGATGCAAACATCAACGACATGCATATGGAGTATACTGCACATCTAACTACAAACTTGTCCCTCTTGTCATAACCAAAGTTTCGCTCTCATCACCTTAATTGTGATTTCCGAAAGCAACTTTTACCGAATTGTTAACTGCATAGTAACACAATTGAGTAGTACACTGGAGCAGGAATGTATTACCTTTCAACAACACATGTGTTAATCGTAGGCTTTTGATAAAGTTCATGCTGTCAAGTATTTAGATTTCTTAATGGAATATATGTTGTCAATTATGTTTGTTCTGTTGTCTTGTTGTTCTTTTTTCCATGATTTTTGTCAATTTTATGGATTTGATGACTTTTGGATTTACCCAGGTTTCCTTCTTTCAAACAAAACAAAACATAGGTCAACATCTTAAATTAAGTTTTACCATCATTAGGTAGATGCCACTGCTTGTGGATGTTTCTTACCAAAAAGAATCACAAGCTCAGTAAGCAAAACAACATAGAGAAATTCAAATTTACAAATATATATATACTTTTAATCAATGTTGAATTATCCAAAGCATTTTGGATTTTCTACCCCCTGATTTAGCTTCAGCCGTACTGTGGATATGACAAAAATTTCTGATGATATGGATTTGAATTTATTCATAACAACCTTCAATCTCATTTGACCGTCCACTTGTTTTGATTCGAATACAAATGATTATTATATGCCGATCATGATTATTTAGTTTGCAAATACGTTTCTTGTGTAATGTACTCATCATATTTACCAGGATTGTCATTTCGTACGCCAGACGCGTGTTTCGCTTTCAAAAGGTAAAGTTAAAAAAACAGACTCCAAACAATATTTAAAACGGAAAATCCATTATCAAATGGCAAAACAAACAGCTCAAACATATCACACGAATGGAAAACAACTATAATATTGCTGACTTGGTGAAAAAGGCCCGTCATTAAGTGACGCTTAAATAAACTAGAGGATCTCAAGAGCCTGTGTCGCTCACCTTGGTCTATGTGCATATTAAACAAAGGACACACATTACAGACAAGAATAGAATTCATGACAAAATTCTGTTTTTTTGTGGTGATGACTTGTTTGTAGATCTTAATTTACTGAACATTCTTGCTATTTACAATTATCTCTATCTATATTGACTTTGGCATAGTAGTTTAGAGGAAAAGATTTTTGTAAAAATTTACAAAAATTTATGAAAAATTGTGAAAAATTGACTTTTAAGGGCAATAACTCTTTGAGGGATCAATTGACAAGTTTGGTCATGTTGACTCATTTGTAGATCTTACTTTACTGAACAATTTTGCTGTTTAGAGTTTACCTCTACTTATTATAATATTCAAGATAATAACCAAAAACAGCAAAATATCCCATAAATTACCAATTCATGATCAGCAACCCAACAATGGGTTGTCTGATGCGTCTGAAGATTTCCAGACAGATAGATGTTAACCTGATTAACATTTTTACCCCATGCCAGATTTGCTCTATATGCTTTAGTTTCAGAGATTTAAGCCAAAAACTGCATTTTTACCCCCATCTTCTATTTTTAGCCATGGCTGCCATCTTGGTTGATGGGCGGGGTCATCGGATATATTTTTTAAACTAAATACCCTAAGAATGATTTAGGTCAAGTTTGGTTTAATTTGGCTTAGTTGTTTCAGAGGAGAAGATTTTTGTAAAAATTAACGGACGACGACGACGACGACGGACGACGACGACGACGCCAACGACGACGGTCGACGGACGACGGACGAGGGACGCCAAGTGACGAGAAAAGCTCACTTGGCCCTTTGGTCCTGGTGAGCTAAAAAAGTAAAATGGCAAAAACAAAGAACAAAGAGCAGTGATATCCAAAAATTGCAAAATGTGGCTTACAAAATAATTTACTGGAGTAGAAAAGCTTAAGTATTTCGAAATATTTAAAGTTTTGTAAACAGTAAATTTATATATATATGCCCATATCAATTATAAAATAGGGGCGAAAGATACCAGAGGGACAGTCAAACTCGAAAATAAACTGACAACGTCGTGGTTAAAAAGAAAAAGACAAACAGTCAAAAAATAGTACACAAGACACAAAATATAATTTATGTCAATACAGAAGTGCTGACTACTTTGCTTGTGACAGCTACACCAGCAGTAGTATCGAACTAGTAGTTGTAAAAAAATCATCGTAGAAACTAGAATTGAAATGTGGTACTCAAGGCGCGTTTGTCTACACAGGACCCATCAGTGACGCTCGAATGAGAAAGTTAAAAAAAGCTAATCAATGAAACAAGTTGAAAAGCAATGATGACCAAACATTCCTTAACTCAAGCCGAATCTAGCCAAGGTCATATACACATGTATCTATTCCTAAAGCAGAAAAGCCTGAATATTTCAAAAACTCACAATAGTTTGTGTCAACACAGAAGTGCTGACAACTTAGCTGGTGATACCCTCGGTGAGAAAATCTCCACCAGTTGTTCATTCGACCCAATGGTAAAAAAAACTTGTAATAGATATTAGGACTTAAATGTTGTACGGCAGAATAGAATGTTTCATCTACAGAAAACTAAAACAAAAGTGACGCTCGAACAAAAAAAGTTAAAAAGGCGAAACAAAGTTCAAATTTAAGAGAATTGATTACCCAAAATTCCTTAAAAAATGATTAAATGCAACTAAGGTAATCTATTCCTGGGGTATAAAAACCTTAGTTTTTCGAAACAAATATGTACATAAGGTTATAAGTCATAACGGAATATATTGAAGTCCAACTGTTAATTTTATAAATGCGAAATTTTAAACCATTAAATGCTTTTTTTATTATTTTGTTTTCTTCGTGAAACAATTCGTGTATCCATACCCACATTTGAATCCGTAGAAAATGTCGTATTTTAATATCACCGCGATTGATCAATGCAAATCATTCCGAGAAAAATATTGCATGGTGTCCTTCAAACAACGGCACAGGCAGACGGGAATTATATATGACCATTCATGACTATTCTGACAATGACAAATGAAAACAAATGATTACCAACTTCATTTGTGATACTAGTACATGTTTTACGATCGCAACCTCTACTGCTATTCAAGTCGTTGATTACCATGGCAGACTGATTACATCCATATATGTTTCCCATGTCATGAAATACTACATAACTGACTGCAAAAAAAACATTTAAAGCCCTAAAGTGTAAACCATAAAACACACCGTGAACATGGTAAAGGGTGGAACATAGGCCAAATCAAATGAGGTTCAAAACAGAACTCAAAACATGCCCACACGAACTGGTTGGCTTTTCTGTCAATCCATTCTGTCAATCATTTAAGAGTTGATTACATCAGTCATTGCCTTCTTACATATTATTCGAACCGGTCACAAAGATTTATACCTCAAAATGTTGTCCTTTTTCTAAAACTTCCAGATACTGATGTGCACTATCACAGTTGAGTCTTCTTGCAATCCATCTGGTTGGACTATTGCAACCGTATATAACAAACATATCTGTTGAAGCTCGAAATATAACGGCACAGTTTGAAGCCCATTTTCGTCGATCATCCCGCCTTTGAATAGTGTGTATCTGCAAGTTCGTAAAACATTTACATGTTAATAAATGGTCAAATTGAAAAGTATTTTTTAAATATTTATTTCAAATTACTAAAGCGATAATGTAGAACAGTTCACTTTATTACTTTGTATGATTTTTCGAAACAGTCGGTTGTTAACGGTTGCTGCGATTTCCTGTACCCTTGCAATGTATTTTTAATAATGTGAATGAAACAAATCAGGTCATTTGAATTAAAAAAACAACCCACAAGAATGATAATAAAATCATTTTTTCAAGAAGAATAAAAAGCGAAACATAACAAACATTTAATATGCACTTATATGCCGTTACTTCATTTTATAACACTTGGTCTGTCTTTTAAATGTGTAAAAATGTAAAATCACAAAAAAACTAAACTCCGAGGAAAATTCAAAACGGAAAGTCCTTAATCAAATGGCAAAATCAAAACACATCAAACATTTGTCAAACGAATGGATAACAATTGTACTGTCATATTCCTGACTTGGTACTGGCATTTTCTTATGTAGAAAATGGTGGATTGAACCTGGTTTTATAGCGAGCTAAACCTCTAACTTGTATGACAATCACATCAAATTGACAACGACACGTGAACAAAACAAACAGACATTATAGGTAAAAATGTCAAAAATACAGCAGTCAACATTGTGTTATAATCTTAATCACTAAAACAAACAAACAAATATGTAACAAAGAAGCACAAAACGGCACACAGACCAAGCATATTAGTAAAAATTAAAGACAAGAATATACAAATTTACCCTAGTACAATAACACAATGACGGGATGTTTTAGTACAGAGCCACTTCGTATATGTAACAAAGAAACAGAAAAAGGCATATAGACAAAGCACATAGCAAAAATGAAAGACAAGCTACAAACAAGTTTTACAATAGCACACAATAATACGAGAATATCATAAACAATAATGACAGAATGTACAAGTACCACAAGTACCTTAATAACAATAAAAACAAAAGAAAAGTAAGAAGATAAGGAAGTCCATGAAATAAGCATTATCTCAAAAATATGTGCGAACAAAGAGAGTATTTTTAATAAGTTATACACCATGTCTGTTCTTTTCTTGTTTTTTTTAATTACGTACCTCAATGGGTTTTGTCTTATGTCGAAACAAGACGAATTCTCCTGTGTCATGGGTTGAAAAATATCTATAGAAATAAAAATAAAACATATCTAAGAAAATATTACACATTTGATGTTGTATTAAAATACAGTAACTGTAAACCCAGTTATTTTCGCGTATACTTTTTTTCGCGTTTACCCTTTCTAGTCCACTTCGTGCCTATTTAATTTCTTGATTTTCTAATTTACTTCATATAGTGTAATAACGAAACATAAGTATTCGCAACTATTTTTATTATAGTAATTTTCTAAAATCACGAGAATAATTCATGTTAAATAGCTCGCGAAAATAATTTGGTTTACAGTTATCAAGAATCGTACAAATTGTTAACTTGCAATCTGTCAATCCTATTATATACTTTCTAAACATACAGTGTAGGGTTGCGTTTAATATTCAAATTTCTTAAAATACAAAGAGGCTATCATTAATCTAGATTTAAAAAAAAAGGAAAAACAACACCCTAGCCAAATTTAAAGGTGGCAAAGATACTACATTATGCCTTGAAAACACTATACACATAATACAGGGGAATTTAGATACTAGCCCTTTTAATTTCCAGACGTTATTAGGGTACACTAGTGAACTAAATGAGCCTACGGGTGTGTTAAATACAACTTAACCCTTTATAATTAATGGGTAGTAAATAGTGATTTATTCTAAATTTAAAAAGACCGTCATATGTACTTGACACCAACCCGTGAAGCCAATGGTATCATCGTGCAAGTCATAGAACTATCAGAAACTTCTAAACGGTTATTGTTAGCTGATTGTGATTGATGCAAATCGCATATTACATGTATTGTGAAACTATAGCAACTTTTTTATGATTATGTGATGACAGTAAAATAACTGGCCTTATTCATTTATTATTGACCTGTATAAAAGTGAAGCAAACTACATGCACATGGCGGACTAATGCAAGACGATTAAAAGGTATTGTGTACCTGTATACACACAATGCATTGACATATTTATAAATGCTCTATTGGTCAAGCACCTGACCTGTTTAACTTTAAAACGCTATATGCAATATCCTATGCAATACACTAGATACTTTGTTTTTAAGAAGTATTTATATGTACTTCCGATCTTGATCAGTCAAGCATGGTATATATACTATGTATGACAGAAAGATGAGTATGTTAAAACATGCAAAACTATATAGGTTTATCTGAACTTTTAATATAGTTATTTTGACAACAACAAAAAAACAAAAAACACATTTTTTGTCATAAGAAACAAGGTAGTGTAACGGGAAAAGACTATTGAATAAAGGATGACTTAAAGTAGGTTCAGACTACACATTGAAGAAGTTGACTTTTAATAAAAGTCATTATCAATTTTTTTTTAGATATTGTCTATCAGATAAAATATAATACATGTATGTCTATATTGTCTTTCGATACAATATTCAACAAACACTTGTTAACTTTCAATTTCTAATAATGTCTCAAAATTAATATTCAAACTTATTTGCTTAGGCCACACGAAATTAATTGTTAGTTCTTCGGACTCTATCCTTTGAAAAATATTTGGCAGGCGCAACAATTTTAAGCAAGCGAACGATTAGTAATTAATAAAGTTTTGGTGCCTAATATTTAATATATCCAATATCCTAGTTCTTATATTATCCTACTATGCTTCTCATTTTGTTCTCTGACACCCAGTTTAATGTTTTCATTCACAACATTTTCAAGTATAAAAGGGGTAACTTTTATCAAAACTACAACTAAGTGTATTCCGATCAAATAACTATGATCCTGATGAAATTGAAAAGATGAAACCGCTTCAAACAGGCATGCATTGCATTCATGTTTATTATATTGGCTTAAAATACTTGCTTGCCATCAATTGTACGCAGATGTGGATCATTCCTTGAATAACACATTCCATATGGTCTGTTTTCGTTTAATACATGAATCTTGAAATAAAATAGCAGTAAATTTACAGATTATACTCTAGAACTATACTGAATGCAAAGGTTTTATTACAAGAAATTACACTTTTTAAACATCTTAAATTATTAAGAAATCAGGCTTCTTCTGTTGTTAATGTTAATCTTGTTCTTGTATGCTTACATTTGGAATAATAAATGTTCAAACAAGTAAAAGATAAATTTAAGACGTCGCGAAAAATAACATTTTACGTTCATAACTCCCCTGTTACAGCATCATTCAACAAGAACCCAGAAAAAAACATTTTTGTCGCACGAAAAGTATCAAATGTTAATTTCATTTAAAGCCATTGACAATGTTTTCGAAAGTTGTTCGTTAAATACTGACGATGCCTTATGTGTTCTTGTTTGCATTTGTCAAAAAAGACGAGAGTTACCCAAGGCGCAAACAAAACACCAATTAACGTATAAGATCTGCTAACAATCCGTGGCTTAACCATTTAGAGCAACAGACAAACAATGGTTTTTACAACACACTTGTTAATAGTCGTAAGACTAGCCAGTTGACATATGTGATAAATTTATAATATTGAATAAAAGAGTCATTATGTTTTTTGTTGTCAGGTTTGTTTTGGGAACAGACAGATAACAGTTGTTTTTATCATTTTTCTATTGCTATTGCACAAAGCAAATTCTGTAATTACTGATATCGACAAAATATTATTTGAATCGTTGTTTGCACATGTCGACACTAGTTCAATCTTCATTTTCGTTGCTTTTCGACCTTTTGTGGTACTAATGAATTTTCTCATAATAAATACATAAGTTGATGTGTGTAATGTGATAAACTATCCAATGTAGAGACCATGAGTCCTTATCTCAAAATGTTTCATGCAGATGTCTTATGATATTGTGAAAGTAAAAAATCAATCTGATTTCTATATTTTAATATTTTATTGGTTAAGGCAATTCCTTTAAAAATTGAAAAGAAAGGTTATGGAATAAAAAGAATACATATGTATCACCGGTTGGTCATTGCCAATTATATAATGTACTGTTTCAATTCATCATTCATCGGTTTCTGATTGAATATGAAATACCATAGTGGCATTTCCATTAGGCTTGCTCACATATTGCCTTGAACAAGGATATAATAAAAAAAGTTATTATAAATTAGTTTTGAACCAGATCAAAAATCCATCAAATGGTAAAAAAGCTCCTACCGTTTCAGTTTATTTACGCAACCCTATGTCTAATTCATCTTTAAACTTTTTTTAAGTTTTCAAATTCAGTGTTATATATGTAATTCTCTAACAACGAATATCATTTTTTTCTTCCATTATTTTCTAAACAGTTTTCCGTATCGTACATGTTTTATCTTAATAAAACTTCATTGTGTTTTGAGTAAACTTGAATGTAAAGGTGGTAAGAACTTCAATAATTGTTTCTAATCAAAGGCTTTTGTTGTCTTCTCAAGAGTTTCGGTTTAAGATATACGGGGGAAAGAAGATTTAAATTTTATAAAACAAGAGGTATTCGTCTTGTGAATTATAACACATTACTGCTTCTCGACGAATAAAATACTATTTTTCTGAAGTATCTTTCTTCTCAAAAAACACTTACAGAAACTTCCGGAAGTTGGTAATTTTTCCATAAGGAATCTATATTTGACTTAGCGATGAGTTTTGCTGTACAAGTATAGCTTGATCGCACTGCTTGATCACCGAGTGTGCGTAGAGTGAAAGTCTGGTATTCTTGCCATTTTGTTCCATCAAACGCAAGGCCACATGAACTCTTGGAGTTTTCAATTATTTTATTTGATAAACTGTCGTTACAATTAGCTGGTCTGCTTTTGATTTGGTCTTGTAGACTAAAAAGTTCAATATCTATCGTACATCTCGTAAAACCAGGATATTCTGCACAGGCTACTGGTACAGTAGATTTTATTTTGATTTTGACTTCCTCTCCGCTTTTTACAACAAAAGATGTTTTCTCTATCTACACCACAAGCAATGTAAAAATAAGATTAATATAAAATAAATAAATTATGAACTCTCAACACATATCTATGAAGGTTAATGTACTCCAGAAATCGGAGGAGATAAAAGTAAATCACATTAAAATTTAATTGTATACTTTATGCATTTTTAAGATCTAAAGTTCTGAATATTATATAGGTTTCGTAAATAAGATGCAACAGTCGTTGACCGATGTCCATAAAGCCAAATTGATGAAGAATGTAATCACAAGTTTACAAAACAAAGACGAAGGGAATCCCTTTAAATTGAAAAAAAGTTCGTCAATAGGGTACGGATTCTCTACGTTAGATGTTTAAACTGCCTTGCGAATCGACACAGACTCAGAACTTTAAATAAGGAATAGGAAACCATAGGTCACAAATCAAACAACCTTTTCTGGTATTTAAAGATGTAGCAATGCAAAAAGATGTCGCTAATGATTGGAAACACAAACAGCGAAGGAGTCTGCCAATCAGTTATGTTGACTAAAAATCTATATCGTGTTGATTGCAGTTATCTTCAACTCGTCGGGTTAACTCTGTTCATAAGGAAGATCTTTAAGTGTGAAAATGCTGACGTGTAGCGTATCAATTGAATTCAAATGAGCAGTCGAAATTTGTTGATAAGAACCCGAGTTATATTGTATTCAAAAGACTTTTGATTGAAACTATGATTTGTTTCAAATATCAACAAAATAAGATAGCCAATTTGTTACCTTGACTCCTGCGAAAAATTCTTTGCTGGTGTTGTATGCTGTAGGTACACCGTCAGAACTTTGTCGAGCTCTCATACTACATGTCACCTGTTTGGTAATTAAAACATTATGTATAGTGTTGATTGAACTAAAAACAAAAGGACTAGTTTGAATATTGTTATTTCCTCAGAATAATTTCGAAACTACAGTAGTTTGCCGATTTATCAATATCATTAAATCCACAAAAAAGATCTTTTGCCTCTTCTATACTAATTAAGAAAGAAAGAAAATATAAATATAGAGCATGTAGAAGGAAACAGTAAGCTTTGCACACAACATAACAAATATCCCACATCGGAACAACACTGATCGTTTCTTTTGACGACGTAAATATTGCGCTATAATTCTGCAATAAAAATGCTATAGTACAAACGGTTTGAGAGGAGGAAAGGATAAAAACATGTGGTGTAAAATGTTTATAATTATTTTTAAAAAGTTGAATGTTAGACTCGCATCGGCAAAAGTATCGTTTATTTTAACAGGGATATAATTCGAATATTTTCATTGCCATATAAAAAAATCCAAACCAGGTTAATTGGTAAATCATATTTGTTAAGAATTGGATTAATTTTCGCTCTCTCCATCGCGCTACAAATGACGTGTTGTCATTTTTATTTACAATACGATTAAGAATCTAAGAAATACTCATCAGCTAACCCAAAATCCGAGTACATTATGGTGTGTCTTCCAGTCTTTTCGATGAAGAACACCGTCAGTGTGTAGCTTGCTGTATGGAATGTTTCGCTTATAGGAGACTTCTTTGGTGTTAATAAACCAGGAAATGTCGAAGAAATATTGTTGGTATTCTGAAGGCATCGCGACTTGACATTGAAAAGCCAAACTTCTAAGTTCAGAGGTATAATTGAATGTAGGTATAAATGCTTTGACTCGTGGTAAAACGCTGAAAGTTATACTGAGACCTGCAAAGAGAAAAAAAAAACCAGCTGCATGACCTAGCAAATATCCGCTATAAATTAGACAATAGGGCTAATGTATCAATGTATAATGTGTTTAATCAATGGCTGAATATATTGCGGTTTTTTTTTTGGGGGGGGGGGGGGATAAGTACAACATTGATACAAACGTTTTTGTTCCTGCTGATTTGATGTGTAGTTCAGTCCCAATAATCCAAGTTGACAAAATTTAAAAATAGAAAAATTCAAACGATTAAAAAAAAAAATTGATGTTTGAACAAAACAATAAGCAAAAACAATTTTAAACCTAATCAACTTCAACCAACAAACATTTACTTCAACGCAGGCAACTGAAAAGTGGCAGATGATATGTAAATACTGTATGACGGCATGCATCGTGTTCCTTTCATTTGGGGGTTGTAAGAATTTAAATGCCTTGTAGCAAACAAAAATTGTTAGATTATTTAATAACATTATTTAATTATTTCAAAATAAAAAATTTCAAAATGAATCATTGTCTGAACATTTCTGAATACTAATTAACCATGATATTGAAATGACTGAACATAAGTAGATAGTCTGAAAACGTAAAACTGTTCACACCAATGATGAAACTGTGACAAATGTATACAACTTACGCTGACATGGCTCAAATCCAGTTTCTGATGAAGTCCCTGGTTGACATGGAGCTGGTGGTCCAACTGTATATAAAGAAAAACATCCTTTTTTAATAAAAAGGGGAATAATGACAGAAGGATATTGAAAGTTCTTTAGTCGAATAGCATAATATTAACGGTATCAATTTAACTGCACCAGATGAGCAATTTGACAATCAATATGTCTTAAGTGATGTTCGGGCCCAAAATATTTAAAACCCCAAAACTTATCTTAAAAAAGGAAGAACTTATACAATAATAAAACAAAAGGAATAGTAAACGCCGGGCAGTGAATCATAACTTTGCATTAGGGAGATAAATTTCTCAATTTTGAAATAATTTGAAAAACGTTTTAATCGCACATTTTTAACTAGAGCTGTCCTCATAGCGGGACTTAAATCCCTCTGTATGCATTATAGTTGCTTTGAAAATGCAGTGTTGTCAATGCACCTGGCTTGTCTCAATTATTTATAATATATATATACAAGTCTAAATTGAAAACAATGTTCAAACCGATGATTGCGTTGGATAAAAACTGAAACTTATATACGTGTGCATACAAAACAAATTTCTCGGTAGGGGGTCTAAATACAGCACAAACAAAATTTTCCAAAAGACCAAAAAAGTGAAAAAAAGTATATTTTAACAAAACGCATTCGACTAGTAAGTCGAACAACTGATGTTCTTTAACCCGGCTGACTGCCATTTGGTGATTGCCAAATAAACAGACCACTAGATGTAGCAGAATGGATCTTATCATTAATGTATTACCAAACAAAAAACAATAAACTTGCAGAACAGATGCTATACTGAAAACATGAGTTGCATAAGTTTGTACACAATATCCGTATTTCGACAATAAATGTCTCTTCAGTGATGTTAGGAATCGAAACGGTATTTGAAAGGCCATATCATGTACCTCAATTTATGGTAGACTCTTGAATTTTGAAAGAGTCGAAATATGATGAACGGATCATATAAACCCGAGGGCAAATATAATACAAGCCCAAACGAAAAAATATAAACAAGTCTAAACTGAAAACAACGTTCAAACCTATGATTGCGTTGGATTAAATTACCTGTACAATAGCGACCTGGGCATGCTGGAATTGCTTTCAAGTAGAACACGTTAAAATCATTGCAGTTTTGTGCTTCAACTTGGAAAGTGCTTTCACAACATGATAGAAACCCTCTCTGGCATGCGTTTAAAGTTATCCTTTGTCCTTGCTCTGGAAGAGATCCTGTTAAAAGATGTGATCATCGCGCTGCTGTATTAGAACTATTTCTTTGTTGTTGTTAGGAACTATTTTATAAATGCACATATTTTATACGCAAATAAAGACAACTAGACTTTGTAATTGCTAGCAATAACGGATGGCACCCTTTTTCCAAAATTGCCAGGTTAACGACAGTCATTTTGAAAATTCAAAAGTCAAAAAGCGCATGTACACATGACAATTTGCATTGTTTAAAAGTCTCATTAATAATATAAGTTTGGATTTTTATTTTTATTCTGACATTTGTTATACGAACAAAAGACAACCAGATTTGTTATTGTTAGCAATAACGAATACGCGCCACGTTCCAATAATGAACATGGTAACGGCAGTCATTTTGTAAAATTTCTAAGTCAAAAACCACATGTACACATGCCTATTCACATTGTTGTTATTTTTTTACATTTTGCTGTTTCCATTGCAATTGTGGCCATTTAGGAAATTCCAAAGTCGTTGCATTATAATTGCAGTAAACATAATTAAAAAAAAGCCGAACAATCGTTTGGAAACCAGTATATTAAAACAATGGCTTGCCGACGTGAAAACCTCTTCAAGAAGCCAAGTTTGATAAATTAGGTAAGAAATATATAACTTGGTCTCGCCTCGCAGTTGAATATCTAATAATATCATGAATATTATGTTATTCAATTCCAGGCATGAAGTTAAGCATTTGTATAAATAGAGAAATATGATTAGAGAGAAGCAGATTTGATATATGGGTGGCCCTGGTCTTGGAGACGAATAAACATATCGAACTGTTAATTGAATACACATATGTTGCCGTATAGAAATAATCGGGAAAGTGTAATTAATGTTTGACTGTAGTTATTTTTGAAAACAAAAATTGTAACATAAAAAGTACTTTCAGCATATGGCAAAATCAAATGTACTTTATTCAAATGATTTGCACCACGTGACTTTGTCCCTTTTGATCAAATTACCTCCCTTAGCTTAAGATTGAAAATATAATTTATTTTAGATTTGCGGATAATCACGTCCTTTTCCGTCATGTATCTTAAACTAATGTATCTTTAAAAACTTCCTTTGGCGGATATTTACAAAAAATGCTGTGTAATTCTAAGGGAAAATGCTTAAAATTTGACTTTTTACGAAATGGGAAGGTTGAAATCATCATTTTTTTAAAAGAATTTGGCCGAAAACTTAAGAAAGCAGGTAAGTTAAATGTTATTTAACTTTAAAATTCAACCTACAAGGTGTTTCCCTATATGCGAACAAATCATGAACAATATCTTCTTGCATATGTATTTCTGTTTTGAATCTTGCTATTTTACGATTTTCCGTCATTTTATATGAACTTATATAGCAATTATACTATGACTTCGCTTCCGATTTTTAAACTAAAAAGGCCGAAAGATTTCAGAGTAGACAATGTCCATTTGTACACGGACAGAAGCCTAAAAACATGTACAATTCACCTATATGCGAACAAATTGTTCATTCGAGATAGGTATTGGCATATTGGCATTTTTATTTAAGGGGCTTATATAATCCTATTGCAATGGCTGCCAACATGATAAGGCAAAATGGCCGCTATGCAAATTAGCAAATTATCCCAAATTTTGCCATATGGTTCAATGTTAACCACTTGATGAGTTCAATGCATGTTTTATTGATCATATAAAAGTGTGAAACACAGGCGAAAAATATACAAACTAATTGTTAAAAAATAAAAACAAAATGTATCGATATTTCGTACTGAATAGCAAAAATAATAGAGTCTAGTTTTCTTTCTATAATTGTAGCTCGTACAGGTAAGTTCTATATATATATTGTTCAATTAAGTACATACTATTAGATGTATGTATGTATGTACTATCTTGATACTATAGTTTCGACAAATGTTCGAGAGTGATATTAAATTTATAGCGCTAAATGACCTGCTCACCTTGCCTCATATATCTCTAAAAATCAATGAGGTTATGAACTAAAACTACATACCGTTTAACCACACTGGATACAATGATCCGCATCTTAATATGGCTGGACATTCCGTAGCAATGTTTCCATTTTCCGGAATCCTGTACCATTCCTCTCTTAGTAGTCTACGATCGCATAAATCAGGATCATTTGGACCAAGAGCATAATTTACGGAACGAGTTGGCTCGTCAAGAAGGCGATTGTTTCCTGGATTGCATGGATCTTGGCAAAGAAGACCTATTTAATCAATTAAGCACTTAGTTTATCAATCAAATTTATAATAATGATTAATGTTCACTTTTAAAATTTTGTGGAAATATATTAAACCCTGTATATGAGACAATATCTGAAAAAGTCTGAAAAAGTCTAATTTTTGGCAATAGGAAAAACCAACAAAAAAATGTCTTTAGAACCGGTATTTTAATAGCACAAATCGAAGAACACACACTGAGGATCTAGGAACTGTTGTCTGTAATTCAAACAATTGTTAAATGTGGTAACTTTGTTAATTTTAAAAATGGTACAAAAAATTCCAGTTCTTTCCTGTTACCAAAGTGAATCAATTTTAAAAAGTTTCTAATGGGAATAAGGAATAAGTTTAAGATACTATTTGTGGTTTACTAGTATATCCTGCAATAGTTCGTCAAATGCCAATTATTTATTTTAGCATTTGCAATACAAAAGGTTAAGAAATATACTAAAATATAGTCCGATATGTCGGTAACATGAAAGAATCTTGAGTAACAGGACAAGTAACAGGACAGAGTTGGTAACAGGGAGGAATTTTTTTTCAAAACAATTGCTTTATTTCATAGTTTAAGAAAAATACATCATTTCAGATTGTTCACAATTGGAAGATAACAGCAAACAACGTCATTTATCTTTTGAAACTGTATTTGCAAGATGAAAAAATCTGCCTAGGTAATGAAAAATTCTAAAATAAATTCCTTTCTGTTACCATCTGCTATACTAGAATTGCACAATGTTCTCTGCTGTTATCGAAAGTCAAAAACCTGTCTTTTCATTCAATATACTGTATATTATGTTGAGATTTATTCAATATGATGATCATAACTTATATTAAATGAAATGTTTGACATATAGTAGATTAACTTTGTGATTCATCTGTGAAATTGTCTTTAACATCATTCCTGTTACTGATAATGGTTATGCTGTTACTTTTTATCAGGTAACATGACAGAATGTAACAGAAAGGAATTACACAGGACTTTTTGTCCTTTTATTCGAATTGTGTAGAAGTTTACTTCCATCTACATATCAACTAATAAGATACTATAAAAACACATTTACTGTTATAGGGGTAAATTCAGTAAATAAATACACGTCACCAGGGACCGCCCATTTGGGGGAGAGCTTTCTGTACAAAACTGAAGTCCTGTGCTCTTCTGATTAGTAGATAATGTTTGTAATAAATATTTTTTGATAGATGGACCAAAACTAGAGTTAAAAAAATAAAAAAATTAATGCTGAATATACTTAATTTTTTTACTACAGGGTTAAAAAGTAATGGGGGTCAGTAAAGGAATTAAGTGCGAATCTACAGTGTTTGTAAACAAGGCCATGTGAATGCCCAAAAATGCCGCATGACCCTAAGTTTTTATTGTTGCAAAAGATAGGGCTACATTTGTACTTTCATGAATAATATATGAAAGCTTCCAATTTCTAAAGGTAAATCGGGTATAAATTTAATTCAAGACATAGATTGGCATTAAAGTCAATGGGAGATTTTTTACCGAATTTACCCCTATAGGAAAATATGCACTCTGTCACTGTACTTGTTCAAGGCCACACAATAATCACAAAACTCATTTCCTGTAAATATTAATCCAATGGGAGCCTTTTGGAACCAGTTAAAGTTGTTTTTTATTCAAATGTCTATGTTTAACTGCGGTAATCAAGAATGCACTGAGTGTACTGTGGTAGGAAGCATGGGCATATGGTGAAAAATCAGTTTTGTGTTCAGATTGAAAGAAACAATAGAAATTACACTTGAGAGTTATGATACTAATGAAAGGCATAAATATTCTCCCCATTTTACATCACATTTTGCACATATTTCTCCTAATAATGTGTAAAACCATATTGAAAATCAGAATTACCTCCCTTTGACATAGTGTTGTTTTTTTTTTTAGCTGTGTTCCCCATGTTAAGTTGTAGATCAAGTTGTAAGGAAGCACTTTTCAAGTATTTTAACACTCGAATAATCTGACCGTATGAAGATTTTCATTTATGTTTACATAATTCATTGCGTTTCTTGTAAGTAAAAAAAAAATACTAGACAACTTGTCATGATTACATACCCTTCATCTATAAAACTAGTGTTGAAATGTTTGTAATTGGACTGCTATGTTAAATAATTGTTTTTGAATATTCTAAATTGTTACTTTTATGTTCCAAATGCCAAGTTTGGTCATAACCAATCTTATTTTTTTCATATTTGGCACTTTTTTCTACTTTAGTTTTGGCCGTCTAGTTTTGGCGAAGAAACCATCCTGATGTTGGGGTAACAGGAATTTCTGCAGAGTGGTTGTCAATGACATTTTGTGAACTTTGCAAGTAATTAAAACACAGATTTAGTAAAATGAAACATAATTGTTGTTTTTTATGGTATGAAACTGCCTAAAAAGCCGTTGAAAAATCTTTTAGAGGTATTTTTCAAGGTATTTAATTAAAAACTTCCATATAAGGCAAAATTTAACTAAGAGTACATCAAGACTTTAGTTCTTAGATGTACATGCAATACTGGTCAAAGCAAACACAGAAAACAATTCATATTTATTAAGCATAGTATTTTACACTATTCTTTTAAAAACAGTCAAAGTGCAACTTTATATACCAAATATACATTGGCCGCAGTATGGGCTGTAGTATAAATTTTCCGCTATCTTTACAAGTTCAGCCTTTATGAATGTTGTATTGAAACTGGAACTTGAAAATTGGATACATTACATGATTAATGCAAAAAAATTAGGAAAAGAAGTTAAAAAGTCCCTTATAGGGGTAAATTCAGTAAATAAATATACGTCACCAGGGACCGCCCTTTTGGGGGAGAGCTTTCTGTACAAAACTGAAGTCCTGTGCTCTTCTGATTAGTAGATAATGTTTGTAATAAATATTTTTTGATAGATGGACCAAAACTAGAGTTAAAACAAATAAAAAAACGAATGCTGAATATACTTAATTTTTTTACTACAGGGTTGAAAAGTAATGGGGGTCAGTAAAGGAATTAAGTGCGAATCTACAGTGTTTGTAAACAAGGCCATGTGAATGCCCAAAAATGCCGCATGACCCATGTTTTTATTGTTGCAAAAGATAGGGCTACATTTGTACTTTCATGAATGATATATGAAAGCTTCCAATTTCTAAAGGTAAATCAGGTATAAATTTAATTCAAGACATAGATTAGCAGTAAAGTCAATGGGAGATTTTTTACTTAATTTACCCCTATAGTGCTGACAATGAAATATTCTCAGAAGGTACACAAAAAGGCTGTAACAGAAGAGAACAACAAAATTATTTTTCTCTAAATTCTGATCTTTGGGGAGTTCGGATTTTTCAAACTGGCTGCCATTCACCATCAGGAAATGATGCTGTTCTCATTGCATTACAAGAAATAAAATCTTGGTCTTTCAAACGTTTCCACAGGTGAAAAAACCTTGGGACAAAATTTAAAAGACCCTTAAAAATGCAAAATTTTATCACATGCTTTAGTTATAACAAAATCACACCATTAAGGGACAAGTTTTCTATATAATCTATCATATTTGTGAAAATCGGAAGCCTGTTTACTTAATTTGGATATTCTTTGAATGATTTAGTTGTCAGAAAGCAACACCGGACAACATGATTTTTTTTTTGGGGGGTTGGGGGGTTTGAACATTTAAATTATAATATTTTATTAGAAGAAATATAAGAAAGAGTGTTTAATTGGCAATTGTTTGTGCATAATATACTATAATTTATACTGAAACTTAAAAATTTTCAAAAAGATGCCTGAATAAAAATATATATGCTGGTGAAAGATGGAACATGGAAATTATACTTTTTCAGATATTGTCTCATATCCATAATTCATCAAGTCAAAATCATTGATTTATAATAACTTAAAAAAAGGTAAATCTAAAATTTACTCATTGTAAGATGTCTTGCAATCTACCTGTTTATTTGACGTGTTACGAAATGGTATATACTCGACGCTGATGTTGACAAATTAGACTTTAAATGCGGGTATCGTATCAAAACACAAAAGTGATTTAAAGATTTAAATTACCTGTGTACCAATTGAATCTTGTGTTTATACTGCATAGTACTGATGTCCACGTATGTTTTGTTCCTTATAACAGACGTCCCTTTGTTCTCTTTATCATGGACATTCCATTTTAAATTTTCATAATGGAACAAAAAGTCCATAACAATAATTCCTTAAGGAATAAAAATGATGAATTCCATAATATTTCTTCCTTTTGGAGGCGAGTATTGCAAAAACGATGTAAAATCCAAAAGAAAAGAGGGAAGGAAAGCCAAGAAAAAGAAGTAATAGATGAGAGAAACAATCCCCCCCCCTTTTCACCCCGCAACACGTATAGATAAAATCAATATTAGCAGCGACGGACCATTTAACTTAAAGAGTTGTTTACCCGAGGTCAGAACTTTAGGACGGACGTGTTGCAAACAATGCAGAACCGATTATTCTATGATATGACGAAAGTCCAGCTGGCGGGCGCGTGAACGTGCAGGAAAGAGGGAGAAGAGGGTACCCGTTTTGAGTAATAAACTAACCTAGGAGCTTCAAAACATTGTACAAGCCGCGGTATTTATATACATACAAAATGTGAAACTACTTTTATGAATTCGTTTTGGATATAGTTTGCCTTTTTTCGGAGTATGACCAACATGACACCTCTATAGCCTCGCTTGCCCTTATTAGACCTTGTGAATGATTTTGTAATTATCTGTTTATATAAAAATAAGAAGATGTGGTATGATTGCCAATGAGACAACTCTCCAAAAGAGACCAAAATGACACATAAATTAATACCTATTGGTCGCCGTACGGCATTCAACAATGAGCAAAACTAATACCGCGTAGTCAGCTATAAAAGGCCCCGAAATGACAAATGTTAAACTATTCAAACGAGAAAACTGACGGCCTGATTTATGTTCAAAATAATGAACGAAAAACAAATATGATATACAGCAACAAACGACAACCATTGAATTACAGGCGCCTGACTTGGGACAGGCACATACAGAATGCCTACTCAGGAAAAGCTTAATTTCCCTTACATTATTCTCATGTAAAATGTTACTGGTTCGACCCAACGAAATGAGAATCTTTAGAAAAAGACATCCTATAATATTTATTCACAGTTTTAAAACATTTCGAATTGTAGTTTTGGGGTCTGAAATAGTATTACACGTTTAACCAGCCTTTCAACCAGTCCGAAAAGTCTAAGGCATGTTGTTTCTTAACTAAGTCTTAGGAAAAAAACTTTAAACTGAAATTGCAATTCCTCTTGTAAGGGTTTTATGTCAAATGTCACTCGTTTTTCACCTGTTTGACATTCTAAATACGTATTTCAGCATATTTTTATTTGAGATTTCTGTTCATGATTCAAGTGCACAAATACATGCTTAGATACCAAAATCTTTGTGAAATCTATACACTAAATACTTCTTAGTCGACCATAGAAAAAATGAGACAACTACGTGGCTGGTGGGATAAAATGCCCACAGCGTTACGGGGGCAATTGACAGCAATTGTCATGCTATTTACAGACCACACACGGAGCCTCGGGTACAATTTTATTCCAGATACCGGCATTGCATACATATTAAAAATAATAAAATGGAAAAAGGAAATGGGGAATGTGTCAAAGAGACAACAACCCGACCAAAGTGCATAATACAGCTCAAGGCCAATAATGGGTCTTCAACACAGCGGGAAAATCCCGGACCCGGAGGCGAGCTTCAGCTGGCCCCTAAACAAAAATGTGTACTAGTTCAGTGAAAATGGACGTCACACTAAACTCCGAAACATATAAATGAACTAAAATTAAAAAAACATACAAGATTAACAAAGGCCAGAAGCTCCTTACATACGCATGTTTTTCTGTGGACAATATATATATATACATCATGTACATTTTTTTTATAAAATTCACACACAGTAGTTTCTTAGGAAAACAGGATGATACTCAACAGTTTAATTACTACCTTCAATTTAACAGTTATGGAATTAGATTTCCCCAAGGATTTTGTCATTTTAGACTATAAAAATATGTACCGCATGTCGTTCTCCGCTCGGTACCCTCTATATGCGTCGTAAACTTAGAGCTACTTTTAGACCAAGAGCAGAAAGAATATAATGTAAAAAGTGAACTTGCGATTATGGTTCGGGATTTCGGATATATGTTGAACACGCTATTAGCCGCTTCAAAACTTTCAAACGCAAATCAACCAGACCAGACTGTGGAGCTTTGTACGGGTTTAGTAGAGATCGATTGGTTGTTGTTTGTTGTTCGTCCAGTGACACATATTTCATGCATTTTTCAGGACGAGGTTTAGTAGTTGAGTGTCAGATTGGTAATTATGCTCGAAGAACAGTAATTAATTTTTTAAAAATCGAACTGGCTTTTTATGTGATATTTTTTTTCAAATCTAGAAGTGCATACTTGAATAACGACCAACCCCCTCCCCCGCACACAATTACACCTTTCCCGTCCTATAAACATAAGCAATGATATCAGAAAATAATCATTCTAAATTAATATAATTTCAAATGAACGAATGAAGTGTGTAAATACCTGGTTAACATCACGCAAATTGAATTTTACCTGTTGTAATCGATAATCAATGTTTTGACACAGTCCCCACATTTAAAGTCTAATTGGTCAACCTCAGCGTCGAGTATATACCCATTCGTAACACGTCTATTAAACACTCTTCATAACATGAGCCTGTTCTTACAACTATTGATAAAATCTGTATAAATTGAACATTGGAAAAAGGAAATACTAGTATGCTTTTTTTTTTAATAAAACCATTTAAAAATTTATAGTGTTTCGATGTTTTTGTTGTTGTTCAAAATGGTATTTACAAATTGATTGATAGATTAAATTCATTTATGTCACTGAACACAATAAAAATATCTCAAAAGGTTTGTATATTCTATTTTTTTTGAAAGCTAAAAGACAAAAAGATCAAATATGTGGCAAGTCAAGGAAATGTAAAAACGTAACAATGTAAGTGGCTTTAACACCCCACCCCACCAAAAAAAATAAGATAAAATGACCTAACAAGTTTATCCAAATTAAAAATGATCAATGATGTACCCTTTGAACTAAAAGTCCACTAGAAGCGGTATAGACCCAGTGGCAGTAATCGAAATTAGGACTTTTTTTAAATTGCGATTTATTGAGTAGCAGTACGAAAATAAAAATACCTAGATGTACGTGTAATTTTATGTAAAACCCTTTGATCTTACCTTTTATGAAAAAAAATCCTATGAAAACATAGATCCACATGTTTCAGTTATTCAGTTCGTAAATTACTTGTTTTTGCGCGTTTTCGATGTATATCTGTTTGATATCTGATTGCATTTTGTAATTTACAATGAGTTAAGAAATACCATTACAATTTCCTCAACCGATTAAAAATCAAAGTACACTACAAGGATGTTTTTGCAATCATTCTTACGATATTATTTTACGAATTGATATTGTCGATAATGGACTTGCTAATGTTTAATAGAAATACAAGTCGTTATATTAACAGTCAATAACTCAAATGCCTAAAGTATTTTCATTTTTACTAATTGATATTTAAACGTATGTACATGCATCGTTTAAAGTACAACTTTGTGAGGTTATATACAATAAGAAAATAACCTTCCAAAGGTATTTTTAAACGCAGCCTATAAAATTTACGTAGTATATATTAATACAAAACTTCTTATAATATGTAAAGTACTAACAAGTACTTGATGTTGATGCAGCAAAGCAAGTGCCACTTATGGTATTACAAAATAATGTAATTGAAGTTACATAATTAGGAAGTCTTCCGGAATCGATAAAACGTTTTATTATATGAATATAAATTATCTGTTTTCTCATTGGCTAAGAGCATAAGATATACTCCATGATTAAACATTATATTCACCGTGGAAAAAAATCACGAGAGGTTAATATAAGATATGGAAGAGCGTCTGTTTTTCTAAATATAGATATCCTAAGACAACGCTAACGACGTAGGTTTATGACGCCATGCAATTTTTTTCTTTTTCTTTTTCGGGGTTCTTTTTTTCTCTTATTCTTGATTTCGGTGATTTTTTTTAGTAGTGTGAAAAGGGGGATTCTACACCACCCCCCAATTTCAAGGGCAAAACCTGCAAAGGATCCCCAACCCCAACTCCGGAATGCAACGGACCACCTCCCAGTTGAGTATAGGGTAAATACAAGCATGGCATTCATACAGAAGATGGAGGAGCTGAGGAGTCCTAGGATGGGACAGGAGGACACCTTAGAGGGAACGGTGGCCCAAATTAAAATAAATAAAAGGATGGCATCGGGTAAGAATATCATGGATCAGTACGCAGATTTCTTCTTGGAGAATGAGGAAGATTTGGAGGATAGCGCCCCAACCCCAACCCCAACCCCTCAGCAGCACTGCAGCAACCACATGATGGTACCTGTGGATGATAGGACCCGCATGTGCCAAACCTGTGGTATGGAAGAGGTGTATCAGCCCTTTGAGCATGCTCAGGGTGAAGTACCCTCGACCTGCGGTGTTCCCCTGAAGAGGAAGAAGGGGCAATTTTGCAAGAGTAAGCCGGGAAAGGATGGGCTCTGCTGGAGGCATAGCAAGCAGCCGCGCCAACAGGACGATGATGATGAGAACATTCCCATTGGAGGTAAGATCAAGGTCAAGGAGACCATCAAGGAACTTCGCCGAATAGCTAAGGTTGGGGGTCTGTGGGGGGTCAGCAGGATATAGAAGGAGAAGTTAGTCAAACTCATCGAGGAGAAAACTAACCGGAAATTTGCCCGCGAAGAGGTCTTCACAAAGAAGGAGCTGAAGGTCATCGCCAAAAGACGCGGAATCACTAAATATTCCCGACTAGGAAGAGCCGCCCTAACCGACCTGGTGAAGAAGGATATCGAAAATGCTCCCGTGGAAGAGGAGATCAGGGTAGTCGACCGGCGCGATGCATTGAAAGGAGTCTTCGGCACAGTCAGAATCGAACCGCTCCAGCAGCATGATTTGGAAACGTTTTTTCAGGTAAGTCGCAGCACCATCTCCAGGACGATCGAAGATGCCCTCACTCGAAAGAAGGGCTTGAAGGTACAGCTAGTGCTGAAAGAGGAGCTGGTCAAAACGAATCCCGCGACAGGGGGGAACACCTACGTCATCCCTTACTTCAGATCAGCCCAGACAGTCATCACCGAATCAGCAGACCTCGACTTCGAGATTGCGGTCATGGTAGGGAAGATCAAGGAAAGCATGTCAAGGTATATGCGCGAGGGTAGTGGATGGACCTTCGCCCACATCAAGCGGCTAGAGATCCACTTGAACGAATTCAAGCCACTTAGGGGCAGCTCCTACATACCAACCCCATCAGCACTTGCCAAAAAGAAGGCAATCGTCAACGTGAGAAATGAGGATGATCGTTGCTTCCAGTGGGCAGTGTTGGCGGCCCTGCATCATGATGAGGTGGATGGGAATCATGCTTATCGCCTGAACCAGTACAAGAAATGGGAGGGTGAGCTGAAATTTGACGATATCGACTTCCCAGTGTCCCTCAAGGCGATCGATAAATTCAAGAGGCGGAATGCAGACCTCAACACCAACGTCTTTGGCTACGACGGTCTGAAGAAAGATGAGGATGGGGAAGAGGACCTCCAGATATATCCCCTAAGGATATCCAAGAACACCGGCGCGCAGCACGTAGATCTCCTTTTCCTAACCAGCGATAGCAAGCAGCATTACTGCTGGATCAAGAGCCTATCGCGACTCTTGACGTCTCAAGTGACAGGTCACAAAGAGTCGGTATACTTCTGCCGCAGGTGCCTGTGCCACTTTTCCAGGCAGGACGTCCTCGACGAGCATATGGAGTACTGCGGACAGGAGGAGGCAGTCAGAATCGAGATGCCGGAAGAAGGATCCCTCATCAGCTTCCAACATCACAAGCGTCAGATGAGGGTTCCATTCACCATCTACGCGGATTTCGAGTGCTTCACGGGAAAGATGGATACCTGCCAACCCGACCCATCGCGAGCCTACACGAAGGCATACCAGCTACATCGACCATAGGGTTTCTGCTACCGCGTGAAGTATGCCCAAGGCGACTACAAGGAATCGGTCGTCTACTGTTGGGAGGATGCGGCCAAGAAATTCATGGAGTGCATGGAGAAGGAAGTTGGGGAGATCGACAAAATCTATCGATACAACAAACCCATGACGATGACGGACGAAGATAAGGAGAGCTTCGCGGCGAGCACACTCTGCCACATTTGCGGTGGCGCATTGGGTGAGGATAAGGTACGGGATCACGATCACCTCACGGGTAGGTATCGCCACGCCGCACACAACCAGTGCAATGTTGACTTCCAGCTCCCCAAATACGTGCCCATCGTCTTCCACAACCTGAGTGGGTACGACGCCCACCTTTTCTGGAAGGAATTAGGATTCGGGGAAGGGAAGATCACCTGCATCCCCAACACCGACGAGAAGTACATCAGCTTCTCCAAGAAGAGGGGGGACTCAATGCGATTCATGCTCAGCTCTCTCGAAGCCTTGGCAGGGAATCTTACAAATGACAAATTCAACGCGACGCAGAAGTGCTTTGGCGACCGCTCCGAACTGATGCTTAGGAAGGGGGTATATCCCTACGATTATATGGATGGGCCCGCCAAGCTGGAGGAAACGCAGCTACCGCCCAAGGAGAAATTTTTCAGCAGACTCTATGGCACGCACATCAGCGATGAGGAGTACGAGCACGCGCAGCAGGTCTTCGAGAAATTCAGCTGTCGGACGATGCAGGACTATCACAATCTCTACCTGGAGAGCGACGTAGCAATACTGGAGGATGTCTTTGAGGATTTCAGGGATACGTGCATGGTGAACTACGAGCTTGATCCCGCACACTACTTCACAGCCCCGGGGCTATCCTACGACGCTGCGCTGAAATTCACTGGGGTCCGACTGGAGCTTCTCTCAGATCCGGACATGCTGATGAAGTTCGAGGGTGGGACTAGGGGGGGGGGGGGGGGTGTGGCCATGATCTCCCATCGATATGGCAAGGCCAACAATCCCTACATGACCGACTACGATGCGTCGCAGCCGACCAAGTATCTGACCTACTTGGACGCCAACAATCTCTACGGGTGGGCCATGGCGCAACCCCTTCCCACGGGGGAATTCGAATTGATGGAGCCGTCAGAAATCGAGGACATCTTGAGCTATCCGGACGACCACGAATATGGCGCCATGGTGGAATGCGACCTGGAATACCCCCAAGATCTCCACGACGATCATAACGACTATCCTCTCGCGCCGGAGAATGTGGAGATCGACGAGGTGCGTAAGCTGGTGCCTCACCTAGGTAAGCGCACAAAGTACATCCTCCACTATCGAAACCTCAAAATGTATATGGGAAGGGGAATGAAGCTCGCCAAGGTCCATCGCATCATTGGATTCAGGCAATCCCCATTGCTCAAGCCGTACATCGACAAAAACACCGAGCTCAGAGCCGTGGCCAAGTCCGACGCCGAGATAGATTTCTTCAAGCTCATGAATAATTCGGTCTTCGGCAAGACCATGGAAAATATCCGCAAGAGGGTCGATGTCCGGCTGGTCACCAACGAAAAGCAGGCGCTGAAGCTCGTGGCCAATCCCAACTTCGATCGTCGGGTCGTCTTCACCGAGAACCTGACAGCCGTCCATATGAAGAAGACGAAGCTCAAGTTCGATAAGCCCGTCTACCTGGGAGCATGCATCCTGGATATTTCAAAGATCCTGATGTATGACTTCCACTACGGATTTGTGCGGAAGATATATGGCGACGACGCCCGGCTGCTCTTCACCGATACCGACAGCTTGGCCTACGAGATCGGAACCGAGGATTTATTCAAGGATATCGCTCCCCACGTCCAGGAGAAATTCGACACGTCGAACTATCCGGCCGACCACCCCTCCGGAATTCCGGTCGGCGCAAATAGGAAGATCATCGGCATGTTCAAGGACGAGTGCGGCGGCAAGAGCATGACCGACTTCGTGGGACTCCGACCGAAGCTGTACGCCTACAAGATGGATGACGGCGCCGCCACCTAGAGAGCCAAAGGAGTCGCGAAGACCACCATCAAGCGCAACATCACCTTCGACGACTACAAGAGATGCCTCGACACGCAGCAGGAGGTCTACAAGTCCATGAATATTATCCGCAGCCAACTCCACCAGATCTACACCCAGGAGATCAACAAGGTCGCCCTCTCTGCCAAGGAAACCAAGCGCCACATCCTACCAGACGGCATTAGCACCCTCGCCCACGGACACTATCGAATCGCTGACGCCCGCGACT